ACAACCATCAAATAGTACTAGTCAAGTAGATTATAATTATGACAGTTGAATATTAACGGAATATACAATATTGTTCAATATACAATAACTTATTTCGATTAGATGAGTCTACGAATGTTCAAAATTTCTCAAGTCAATGATGAACTGACAAAATCTTTCCTTTCAAATTTAAAGAAGGCATCAGTCCAAGACAACGCCGATGCTTCGTCAACGGAAAGTTCATCGTCCAGATACGACATCTATCGGCAATAATAGAACTAAGTCGAACGGTAGAACAGAAACAAAGTCCTGTCAGCTGTTTCCACGAATCGTGATGGTTTCTTATGCTTCCCGTTAGCGAATGTCAATTATTTTACCTATTTATCACTTTCTCATATTTATAATAGTCACACTCAAAAAACATCACTCCTACAAATTCACAACTGAAAGACTCAAAACAAAGCAAACCCCCAAACAATAAATATAACCAATGTTTCACTTTCAGTTATTCCGATCAGTAAAATTCTTTATTATTGGAAACCTCATTTTGAAATAATTTTAGTGGTTCAAAACTACTTTGGGCAGCACCGTAAATGTGTATATTTAACATTTTGTTAGCATAAGTATTAAAAAATTGACAGAAGACATACCCATTCATTACGTTTCAGGAAAAGAACAAGTACCGCCCTTGGTAACTCCGAAGACACTGGAAAGTAAAACAACGGAGGAAATTCCACCACCGCCATCACCAGCAGAAATTTCTCCTGGAAAAGAAATAAATGTAACAGATGAAGAACAAGTACATGCTTCAGAAGCAGAGGAAGTTCCACCACTGCAAGTGAGTGAAACAACTGAAGGTGTGGAGGGAGCTGAAGAAGTGCCAGCAGAAAGTGATAACCAGCAGGTATATCATGAAAAGGAAGCCCCTGCAGGTACGCATATAAATGTTTATACTTACACTAATAATTTTACTAATCGAAAAAGTGCTCTAAAAGGCAGGTAATAGCAACTTGGCTTTGACTTTGAGAGCGCATGTCATCTTTGTGACTGTAGACGAATGAATAAAGTATAAACTTATAGAACTGAAATACAGATGTGTTGTCTTCATTCATGTCTTCATATAATGTAGATGAGTCTTTCATTAGGCGCTTCCTATATTTGAATTTGAATGAAACAATGTGTGTGTGAGATGTCATCAAATTTTTGTATTCGTATAAAAGACATATTGATGTCATTATGTGTGGAATATATAACATCGTTCAAATATCCGCCACGGCTTCGCTGGATGGAGTGCAACCGAAACCAAGGTAAATTATATCGATGGCATGGGTTATGTTGACCTTGAGGACCATTGTAGTTTATTCGCATATACCTGCGACTTAAGAAAACCCCACAAGAAAAAATCTAACGGGGTCAAATCGCACGATCTCGGTAGCCAATTCACATCATGTGGCATGAGTTATGTGGCACGTAGCGCCGTCCTGTTGAAACCACATGTCGTTGGTGTTCAGATCATCCAATTCAGGCCAAAAGAAGTTGGTAATCATTGACTTATATTGCTCGCCGTTGACAGTGATGGCCTGGCCAACGTCGTTCTGTTTAGTATGGACTTTGGACTGGCGGCGTCATCAGACTGAATAAATGACAACTAATTTGACAGATGTAGCTTCAACAAGAGGTCTGTTATTCCTGACCGGAAGTCCCTGTTGGAAGACCCTATATAAATGCTGATTCAAATAACTATATTTTTTAGAAAACCAGCAAGAGAGTGAAATCACCGAAGAGGTCACACCGCAGGAATCACCAGTGGCAACTGAAGAAGGCGGCACTGCGGATAAACCTATAGAGGATTCCACTGAAGAACAACCCCAACCTGAAGAACCTGCTACTAATGATACATTCCAGCAGGTGGTTGTGACTGAAACAAACGAACATACAACAGAAGTTACCACCACAGAAGTTGCCACTTCTGAACCAACTACTAGTGAACTTCCCACCGAATCGGAAAATGAATCGCCTGAAGAATGAGGCTTTGAACTGCTCTTCCCTTCTTATACAAGTGTGTAATTCCTTCGAAATTTTATTTATTTGTAAAAGCTGTATCACTATTAAAATTACCTGAAAAGTTTACCTTTATTTTCATACAATACTGATATTTTACTTCTAAAGTAAAATATCAGTAAAATATTCAGTCCCAGCTCTGCTGTTTCATCATTTTGTAAACAGAGGCAACACACACTGTCTTTCGACAGTCCGAGTATCTGCATATGATGATTCAAATGACAGCGACCTGTGAGGGCCTATTAGACATCAGAATTTATCCCTACTGTAGTCCAACAACTGTTGGAAGATTTTGTCAGAAGTCCATAAATCTTCTTGTCAATGTTTGTTTGGCAAAGCCTAAAGGGATGCCAATGACAGTTTCTGGTCCGATGAAGCTGCTTGCAGCATCCTCCTTTGCAAGGGAGCCAGCAGCCTCATTGCCTTCCAGGCCAGTATGCATGGCCAGGAATCCAGACCAGAGACAATCTGTTACGTCTTCCTATCGAGGAGATGACCCTCGAAGTGGTCGACTGTCCCATCACAAACGGTGCGTGGGATGGCGGAAGAACTGAGCGCCATCACCATGCGGTTTTTGATGATTTAAAACATGTTGGAATGGTCACCAAGCTCGAAAAGTGGGTGCCCCACGATTTAAACGATCGACAGAAACTATCACTGTATGAAGGCTATTTTTCGGGTTTTCTTGCCGTAGTCTGCAGGTTTTAATGCCTGACGTTTGTAACGGACGCAATACCCGAGCTGGTGCTCTTGTTCCTGTTGCATTAACTACTATTTCCGTACTAAGCGCTCCATTTATATCGTTGTCATTCGTATTACCTGTTTGTGTACCTCCAAGGACAGGTATTCAGCTTTATTAATATTCATTGTCTCTTATTTTTCATTGAAATTATCCCTATGCTTTTGAATCTCTATCGCTTCTCTATATATTCTTGGGTAGTAATTTTGGATACTGTCGAGTATTACTGTATCTTCGAATGAGAATGTGGGTACCTTCTTTGTTCAGAGCTTTGTTGTCGGCTACAGCCAACTTGTCGGTTTGTTCGAGGCGACAGTTTCCCTTGTGTTCGGGCAGGCGGATCCTTATACTTCGTTTCGTGGTTCCGATATAGACCGACCAGCAGTTATACGGGTCGGTACTGCCGATTGACCTCAAAACTATCACGTTTCGAGGTGTTCTTTGATTTTACACAACCAAAACGAACCTTTTTTAAATCGGATTGTCACGTGTCTTGAGACGTTCAGGACAGTGACATTTCCCAAATGTGAAAACCCACCAAAAAATGGCCATAGTTACTGTATGATGGTCAGCGGGCCAAACCATCACAGCAGAGTTCTTTTGTGAAGAAATCAACGAAATATACCGAAAAATTGCGTCAACAGCAGTCGGCACTGGTCAACAGAAGAGGTCCGATACTGCTCCACGACAACGCTCGTCCGCACGTTTCACAAATCACCGTACGAAAATTAAACGAATTGAGCGTCGAAGTTCTGCATCACCCACCATACTTTCCAGACCTCTCGCCAACCAACTATCATCTTTTCTAGCACTTCAATAAATTTCTCACCTTCGCCAATCAGGACCAGGCAAAAACGGCCTTCGACGACTTCATTGAATCCCGAGTACGGTTTGAAGTAGCCTCATAAAAATGAATCAAACTTTTGAAAGAACCTAATAAATAGACATCGAGATTATTTTAGTTTCAACGTTTGGGGGAAGAAAGAAATTTGTTAATATTTCATAAAATAATGCTATATTACATGTGAATTGAAAACATATTATATAAACTTATTATTATTTGCAAAAATGTTTCAACAAACCTTGACATTTCGATAAAATATATATATACACTATCACATATTTTGAGACACATCAGTAAAATCGAAAATATGTATGATCGTTCACTGTATCAAAAAAATGAAATGAAAATTCTTAGTTTCTCAGTTTCTTGAAATCCAATAATGTGTACTTTCACGCCCTATGATAAGTGTGTGTAGCTATTTTCCGGGTTTTTTGGCCGTGAAAACTGCGTTGTTTCCGTTCGTTCTGCGTTGGAGCCAACGGGAACAACAACTCTAGCACCAACTCTAGCTACAACATCGCCTCTGATGTCTGCCGCAGTAGTATACGAAACGTCAGGCGTAAAAACCTACAGACCACGGCAAAAGTCAAAGTCAACAATATTGAAATATTTTCAATTTCACTAATATGCTCAGTTACTTCCTTGTAACATTACGTATGCTCCTTAGGAGAGAGGACTCTCAGTGGTTGCTGTGAAACTTTTCACTCGGGAAAATATTAACGGAGGATATCGGTTATCATTAAGTTCAAAGCTGCATGTACTCTCATCGCCTTTTTTCGATTTAGTGAATACAGAGTGACGACTCCAAGTCAACTGAATATGTTTCCTTCTTCTTGCCTTTATTTGAAATTCCTGCAAAAATTGAGTAAATAGTGGTGATTCTCGAAGCGGCTCTTGCCGCAATTTTCACTGAAGACTTAAGAAATGTCGATACATACCAGATGATGAGTTTGTTCTGATTTGAGTTTCATCATTTTTTTCATCCCTTGAGGCGATATTTTATTATCCTGCTTCTGAACTACTATTGTCACAGTTTCGTTTTTGAGTCTATAAAACCCTGTCATTACAGGATGACGAGCAATTTTCGATTTCATCAAATTAATACACTGCACTGGTTCATCTGATGATGTTAGCATCAACACTGTGCCATCAGGAAAGAACCTATATAAAATCTTTTCTGGTTTACTGCGCCGAAGGGAGAATGGAGAATGAGAAAAACTGTATAAACAAAAATGGACAAAACGAGGACATTAAAAAGTTGGAAAATCGACGAACGTGGAATACGGTGAATATTCAGAGGTTTCATTGTACGCGGGAGGGGGGGGAATCGTCTCTGAGGAGTGTAGCTGCACTATAACACATAGATCCAAGATGGCTACTGCTAGAGACTGCCAGAGTCCCGGATCCTAAGAATCAAAAGTCTAATTAGAGAAATGCCAACCAAAGACTGGAGTTTCCTTGATGGTTTGTGGAAAACTGGATATCAATCAGAAGTTGCAAGGTTTGGTGCATTAAATTTTAGGCTAAGATTCCGCATTTTGTTACTTTTTCTATTGAAGCAATCATTAGAAAGTATAGAAAATTTCATAACTTTGTCAGCCTAATTTCTTTTTATAGTGACAGTTCAAATTCAAATATTGATTATTTTTGTCCATTTATTCATTTCAATCTTAGGGAAGCAAACTCAAGTAAACCGTATTCCTTGTTTTATTGGCGTGCTTGAAGTGTCTCCTATCCCTGTGTACCTCAGTTGGTCTACAGTGACAAGTATTTGAAAGGGGAACTATACTTCTGGAAACTTCTGTAGATGACGTCCGAATAAGAGCTTTTAACTTGATAACTCTTTTCAGCACTTATAATTGAATTTCTATAGAAAAATCAAGAACTGTCCTGCGCTCTTGCCTCCGCAAATCAAGAGATAGTCATTGCAACTGGGCACAAATACAACTTTCTTGCTCTGAATCAAGAAAAGAGTAAGAAAACGGCACAAAAATTCGGCGCCCAACGTGGGGCTCGACACGTTGGCAGCGCCAAAACAACAATTCAATAATTTTCCAATGTATAATAAACTTTTGAGTACCCTATTAGCGTTTTGCATTTATAAAATAAACAGAAAACATATCATGAACAATTGAAATGAAAATCCAAAAATGAAAAAAAACAAACCCTTTTGAAGAATTTGTGCGGTAAATTATAGTCATAGTTAGTATGCCAGTTTCGAAATTTTAGTTATAAAGAATCTGAACTAATAATAACAACCACAGAAACTAATAGTTCTTTTCTGTACTGGATTTGTTTAATCAAATCGACTATCTTACCTTAAATATCTGTAGTAAGCAACCAAATACCAAGGACGATAAAACTGATCCTGGAATACATTTTCCCCATTTCGAATATAGGTGGTCTTGCTTATGTAACAACCATCAAATAGTACTCTTGGTCTTTCAATGAACATAGTTCGCCATGATTTATAATTATCGGGGGATGAACCACAATTAAATTTCCATATTCTGAAAATTATTGATAGCTCATGAAGATAACAGAAGATTTTTCAAATGAATGTTGAAATACGGTTCATTGGTGTTAACATGAATAACAAACTAATTCAATGAATAACTTTACTTGTTGGAATAAGATAATATTAAATATCAATCTGTTTAGATTTCATGCCATTCTGGAGCTATTGTGTTATATGAGAGAAAACTGTCACATTGGCTTTCATCATAATCAATCTATGTAGCTATGCAAAGGATTTTCTATTTTATGGGGTATCCTGAAGTATCCTAACAAAAATACAGTCCACTTTCATAACTACACCAATTAACTCTTAATTAACTCAAAACGATAATTTCAAAGAGTTACAGATGATCATCTGTTGAAATGTGTCTTTTGAAATTGAAGGGAAATAATTCCACACTCATATTCCTTAGAAACTTACCGTAGACACGCTAATCTCCATAATTCTGGATCTCTGGCACATAAATAGAACCCCCTACAGACGGATGAAAAGTTTTCTAATGACCTCAGATCCAAATGTTCAGATATAACCCACTTCAAAATCAAGAGAATGATTTCAACAGGAAGTTGACTAATGTGCGTTGTCTTGAAAACAAAGAGAAAAATTAAGATACCAAAATTGAACCCCTTAGCACCTTACATCTCTTTCAAATTTTGGAGTACATAATGTGGGTTTACGACTGAATTTTTTTTGTATCCGTGGTAGTAATTCTCCATCTTCAATTGGATCATCATCATCATCACCAGTATTACTGCTATCACTACCATCATCCTCTGCTTGCTCTTCTGGAAAAATAGATTTTATATAATGAATGGTACAACTGAATCATCATGAACACGTTTTATTTATATGTGATTTCATGAGCACAATTATTTTTTTGAAAAGAGGATTCTATAAAAGTTTGCATTACTTCCAATAAGGGTGACCTTCACATATGAAATTGTTCATATGGACGGAAAAACAGGTTTCACTTTACCCCCTTGAGTTAGAATAGTTATAAAACTATTTCTTTTTTCATTTGCTGCGTTTTGAAGGTAGTAAGTTGAAAAATAATAGCAGCAATCAAAAAAGCGGCAAGTGCCAAGCCTTGTACCACGTTATCTATCAACAATTTCAATAGTCACCTTCGTTTACTTCTACATCGACAAGGTCATCATCAGATTTGTGCTTGGACTTATTATACAACTTGAATTCTATATCAGGAACAAGTTGAACAGCTCCTCGATAGTACCGTAAAGCTTCATATATTTCACCCAACTTTTCCATTTCAATGCCTTTGAGGTATAAGTTTCTAGCTCTAGTTTCAATGTTGTCACCTTCATCAACTTTTGTCAATCCATCGTTTTTATTTGATCTAGAACTTGATTTTTTTACCTCTGAGGATCTAGAAGATAATTCACTTTGCCATTTTTCTCTGAAAGTTGATAGATCCACTTCCACATCCTGTAAATGTAAAGTGAGAATTATGTCCAAGGAACTACAGATAAAAATAAACTAATTACTACTAGACGCAGATAATTATGGTAACTACTGGAGCCAGCACTACTTGCTTGACCACCGACTTCACCTACATTGACATCTTCTGACTTATACTCTTCCATTTCCAATATCTCTTCAAAAGTATATGAAAATTACATTTGAAGGATCCATAACATTTAAAATTTTAATCAAAATATAACCTAACTTACTACACATAGGGTTATCAATTTCTTCTTCATATTCTCAAGTTTCAACTCTGTTGATACAATGTTCCAAAGTTACTTTCACAAGAAAATCGTTACTAAATGATTTCTTCAATTTTATGATTTTCAGATAGACTCATTTCTTCCATCATTTCAAAACACAAAAGTCATCTAGTATAAAATATCAGGTAGCAGGTAATATACACTGAATTTCACCAAATCTACAATTTCACCGCTAATAATCATGACAATGACATTAAATAACAATAACAATTTATTAAATAACGAATTTATCAATATACGCTCTATAATTGAATACGAAGTATCGTTTAACTATAATTTGAAATCATTTATATTAATACTGAATATGCAGTTTTGGGCAGCACTTATATGAATACCAGTAGAACAAGTGTTTGAATTTTGAGTACAATCTTCTGTATTTGAAATATTTCCACTCAGCACATTGGAATTCTAGTGTAACGTCTAGTAGTACTAGGCTAATTATATTATATGAATAGAACCACTGTATAACCACAGATATGTCAAAAATAGTTATGTCATATGTCAAATTTGAAAAAAGAATGTAATTGTTGATCAATTGAAAACCAATGTTTCTTTAGTAAACGAGTGTAAAACATGGCGCAGTCGGTACAATACGTGCTGATAGATCCACTTCCACATCCTGTAAATGTAAAGTGAGAATTATGTCCAAGGAACTACAGATAAAAATAAACTAATTACTACTAGACGCAGATATTCTGTCACTAATTCAGTGGCAGCTATTTCTATCCTAGTTGAGTGGTTCTCAACCTGATGCTTGACATATTATCAAGATTGAAATCTGATCTCTTATGATATATGATCTCTTTTGGTCGGAAGTCAGCCTCTAGTGCTTTCACTCCCTCATATCTAATTATTTTAACACAAATGCATTGCTGAACTCGAGTGCCTTTAGAGAACAAGCCTACGCTTCCATAGAGAATCTGATTTCTATTCTTCATTTCACATAATTTTATCAAACATCTTTTCTTCTTTTTTTGGTAAAATAGTTCTGTATAACCTTGTGCGACATTAGTTGATTTCCTGCCACCGTGATATTTCAAAGCTAGAATATCTGCACCAGCTCTTACTAACAGAGTTGCTGAACTTCTGATGTGACTCTGCCCTGTGTAATGTTCGCCATTTATGTATTATTATTTACTCATGATGTACTGTTTGGAACTTTTGGTGTAGTAATGAATATTACTGGAGTTATTTCCCAACATCAAATCGTTATTTTCAACACCTCGTCACCAATCATCTTCCTCTTGAAGATGATCACTTAGTGATCGAAACACGTGTCAAAGTGTTAAAAATAACGATTTTATGTTGGGAAATAACTCCAGTAATATTTATCATTATTATTATCGATTACTTTTGAAATAAAACGAAAAATGTATTATTAGTCAATATCTGAATTATTTTCAACGTTCACTGAAAATTATTCACTATGAACATATATTTTTCAACTAATTGATCTTACAATTATTAAAGTTGGCCGCTTTTTTCAGGAGTGACTTTTGGGGATTGATGACGTCACAGGAAGAAGTACATCACAGAGGACCCTTAATAACGAAAAACTTATTGAATGATCGATAAAAAGAATGCTTAATTCCTCATCATAAGTCAGTGTTTTTCATCCATCATTTATTTGTTTTGTTTTGTTGTAGAAGTGATCTTGGTCCATTAACTTCACGACAAATGGAACTTCAGCTGAAGAAGTTGACTTTTATCATTGTTAGTTTCGAAGTTCACAAATATTACAAATATTGCAAATCCAAACTCCTCTTCTGTCAATTGTCATTCACACCGGTGTTTTGACGTTGGTTCACAAGTTTTCAGGAAACAGTATTACATTTCTAATTGTTTTTTTTGCACAATAAAACCACAACAGCGGTGATTTCAGAAACACTAAACCACATTTCTAATTACTTTTGGAATATAATGAAGGCGGACCAATTAATATGACAGCTGACGCTGATGAGAAATAAACAGAGTAGCCAACTCTGAAACCATACATGTGCTCCAGATGAAATCCATTTCCCGAATTCCTATATAGGAATGAGGCCTATTAAATTCTAAATTATTGTTGATATTTGAATGATTGTACTCATATACAATTTGTTGGGTGCGATATAATAATCAGAAATGATTTCATGGATTTATCTTTGAGTCAAATAATTCAAAGAAATTTCAGAAATAATTTAAATTGATAATATTTTACCGCCATCACGAAGTTTTTTAGACCGTGCAAAATCCCCCGCTGTCCGCTGTCCAAGTTACCACAATATTGGAACATTAAATTTTCAACAAACATTTACAATAAAAAATAGGACAAATGGAATCGGATAATAATTTAAAAAAAGGAATTTCTTGATCAAGCATTCATCTGTCCAATTACTCTGTCAGTGTGAAATTGGAGCTTTATAATTTTTTCAATTTCTGCAGTAGTGTGGATTTCCCATGGAGGTTTTCCTCGAATGAAGATAAAGTTCATTCTAAATGAAAATAAGAAATGATTTTGAATGCACTTGATGTAAGTGAATATAGGTTATGTTGAACAAACCTTAAATTCACTATTTTCTAGCACTTTTCTCATTAATTTCAATGTAGTCTGGAAATGGTGTGTAAGGACGAGGTTTTATTATGGTTCAAGGACTTGGATGGTCATAAAAGAATAGATGTGCTATATGAGCTGTTGAATATGTGTTTACCATTTGAAATACGTTTCATGGGCTTGCGCATAGAAGAACTAGGTAAACATACATACCAAGATTTTCGGGCTGCTACCATCATCGCAAACGATGTGGAAAAACTCACAAAAGATACGTCGTTCAATCAAGGAATATTCAATGAAACAGTGCGAAGCAGAGTGCTAATTTACTTACCTCTACTCTCATCTAGAAACTATAATGTTGCTGCCTGGTTTTATCGGAAGTTGCTAAGGACAGACCACGTAGAGGAATACTTAGTGAAAGATAAGGGAGTAGATGAGCAACTGAATAGTGAATTTTTATTGTTGTTTACAATGGCGTTGCACCATCCTGCATTTAGTTTGGAACACAAGTTATTTTTTAGTAGAGTGCTCGTGAGTTTAATCAACATTAGGGAAAATCGAATTTCTTCTAAACATACTGCCCTTGGATACCCCCCTGGATTTGGATACCCCACTCAAAAGGTAAATACTGATGAACTGATTGTCTCTCAAGGGCCATTGAAAAAATATCATTTGACTGAAAACTTAGGTGAAGGTTAACAAACTGAAATATCTGATGCTGATTTATACACCAAACTTTTACATTATTAAATTTTCTCTAAAGATTTTGTTTTGGGACAAGTCAAAACAATTTGAAAAGGTAAGCGTTTGAAATCAAAAGACGAGGTTGAGAAAATTCATTAAAATATATGTCGTTATTACGGTGGAGCAGAATGTGGACATATTTTGCTTATCTGAACAGTGGCTTGAATGGAATGGATAAAACACACATTGATAATTTTGAATTAGTTTCTGCAAGTTTATTGAACCAGCCCAGGCATAAATTAACAATTAGTGAGATAAATTCACTAAACTTACATTTCTTTAACCTGAAGGCACTAAGCCTTCCAAAATATAAATAAAAAGTTGCTTCTTCGACCCTGTTTTTATTACATTGAGGAATATATTGACGTGGCAGGTTCTTCAACTCGTGAAATACCTCATTAAATCCCTCAGTTTATTGTATTTATATTAATGCTTTTGATTCACCAATACTCTTTTTTGTATTCGTGACTTGTCATGAATATATTATACTAATCTTATATATGTATATACATATATACATACTGTATATACATAATACTGTATAATTTCAAACCTCTTGTCATGGCTAATCCGATAAGATTTTCTATGTATAAATCCTACATTTCTTGTGTGTGAAAGTCTTCAGTGGGCCTCACCCTAAACTGCTCCCATTTCAAGCTCGCAAGACTTTGAATAACCAACAAGAAATATTAGAGTTTTTCTATCTCCATCCTTCCAAACAATTTCATTCACCATCATTAATGAACAGTTGAAGAAGTAATATCAATTACCTGCTGTTGAAAGTTTAACTACATAATCCACGCACTGTCACCATTATTTACAAGTTAACATTACTCTGTTGCTTATTTTTGATTTTTTTTTCACAGCCTCTAGAGGGACAAACGATTCCAGTTAAAGTGGCAGCCTCATGTGGTGATGCACCTGCGCTATTTCACCAACCACCGGGCCTTCTTCACTTACCTTTTCAGCCACCATTTGATTTGATGATGCCCTTATTGAACAGACCAGGAATTCCTTGCGGCGCCCCAGAGGTAATATTCGTCGAAGATTGAGCGCTATTTAGCCATAAACACATTTTATTTAAATCACAAATTTTGGATATAACAAGGGATTGATCTCTCGCCCCCTCAACCGTTGGGTCAACTCATTTCAATAATAATAGTAATTTTATTTATCATTTTCAGTACATAATGTACATATGGTAAGTCAATAATTATAATACATACAAAGAATGGAAACAATAGTCATACTTGAATAAAAAATTAAAGAATAAAGGTGAAATATAAATATGAAAACATAAATCACGGCACCTAATATACAAATGATACGATTTAAAAACAAATGCAAACTATTATATTGCATTGAGAATTATTCTCAGGAATTATCACTCCAATAGTTCTTTAAACTATTGAAACAAATTTTCATTAAGAATATTTTGTATTATTTTTAAAGATTTTATATGATTTGGACTCCCTGATTAATTGATAATATGTTTATTGTTTAAAAATAAAATTCTTGTTACAAACACAATGTCATAAATAAATATTAATATAAACATAAGTATAAGATATGAAGTATAAATGTATAAAATGTAAATGATTAAAATAAAATATAAACTATATATACATACATATGCAGAGGTTACATGACAAGAACTAGGACAACGAGTAAAAATATGTTTTTCACACACAGTACAATCGCAATTTCCACACATTCTAAATTACAGGGCATCGTCAAAATATTCTTGTAGGTCATGATATGCTTTATCACTTAATACTTTTGTACATTTCTTTCTGAATATGATAAAAGGAGTGTCTTTGATTTCATTGGGATGTTTATTGTATATCCTGATTCCATTATATATCAACTAGTTTTGAACCAAACATGTTTTTGGAATGGGTAGATTCAGTTCATTTGACTGCCTTGTGTGGTATGTGGCTGTAGCTGTAGATTTATAGTTCTCCCTATTTTTCCAATATAAATATTGAAATAACCGTAAGGATTGTATGTTCTCGAAAAAGGGGTTTACATGAATCTGGCAATTACTGTAAAGTGAGGTGTCATTGTACTTTGGAGATTTTTTTTCATTTATTTGATTTGTGGGAGGGTATCGTTAACATACCACCATAACGTGTATGATAATTATGAGTAGAAGCATTCATTTCAAAAGATGCAAGATTATTTCTTACATAAGTCACACATTTGAATAATATGCATAGGACTGACAATATATTTTCCCTTACAACAATAGAATTGCAATTATCATGATGATCCATATCAAAAATCAGTCTTATAATGTATTTTTGGGCAACAAATATTCCATTGAAATATCTACCACAACCCCATGACAGTATATTTGAGGAAATATGCGGATATGCCATTGCAAAATATATACTTAAGATATTTTTTCAACTACAAGCAATTTCATTTGCTTAATCGTGAACAATGCTGCATTAAGTTTCTTGCAAACCCCATTATTATGCAGATCCCAAGGACAATTGCTGTCCAAAATTCACCAGTTTATAGAATGCTTAAAACCTTCAACAATATTCAATATTTTTAAATCTCTTTAGACTGTTTCAAATGCAGGATGAAAAAATCTTCACTGACAAGTTTTAATCATTTCTGTAGTCTCTGTCACTCTTATATAATTATGTTATACAATGTTTGTACAATGTGATTTTTTTTTCCTATTTTTTTCTCAAGGCCCATTCAAACTGAAATTATGAAGTGTGTGTGTGTGTGTGTGGTTTAAAAATCTATTAGAGGGTAACGTTGATTAGTTGCTCAAACATTGACTATTTTATCTTTTCCCCCCTTTTTTTTCTTTTTGCATTTTGATTTCTGTTTATTTTTGTTGTTTTTCGTTTTGCATTTTCATTTCTATTTATTTTCCTTTTTTCTTTTTAAATAAGTGCTTTTTCTTTTTGTTAATTTGTCAAGTCAGTTCTCTATTGGATTTGTTAATCTGTTTGTAACCCCCATATTGGTAAATTGTGCGTGTATGGCTTGAATGTTTTGGCTTTGGAAGAACTAATTAGCCAGACTATTTTAATGAAAATCTATTTGAAAGTAACATTGATTATTAGTAGCTCAGCCATTGAAATTTTCTCTTTTTTCCCTTTTTGCATTTTCATTTCTATTCATTTCGTTTTTTTTTTATTTTATTTTTTTGCATTTTCATTTCTATATATTTTTGTTATTATTTTTTCTTCTTAAATAAATGTTTTTTCTTTTGGTTAATTTGTGAAGTGGGTTCTCTATTAGATTAGTTAATATGTTTGTAACCCCCTATATTGGTAAATAAATGAATAAAAGCTGAGTGCAAAGACAATTACTTTTCAGGTGATCCCTTTTCCTGCTCCCAGCATTTCGCCCCTAGTCAGTCAGACAGCATCGCCCTGTCAAAGTAGGAGCACCTCACCGCACAGAACAAATACGTCAAGACCTCCTCCTCCAAGTCAGAACCTCCTGCAGGTATTTATAACATTATGAATTCAAATCAATAATCATGTATTTCAATTACTCACAATACGGAATATTTTGATATTTGGTCCTAGGGAGGCAGATGCTTATGCGTTGAAAAAGTTTCAGATGTTTATAGATGTATTTTGAATGTATTAATACTACCTAACTCTTAATTTTATTTCAGCATCCCCTAAACGCCCCTCCGCCCAGCATACCTCCTCCTCCCTTGAGTGGGGCTCCACCATCTAATGTAGATATTTTACCAATTCCGGTGGCTCCCCCTCCTCCTCCTCCAATAGACCAGCTCCCTCAGGGTGCTGCTGCTGCTCTAGGGGCCTTCAATTCAACTCCAGAAGATGATCCGGTAAGGGTATGTATCATTTTCACTCAGTGTTTCGTGTTGTTCTGTTCAATAGATAGATTCATTATTAAAGGTCAGAGGTAGTACCTATTTGGTATAAAATACAACATATTCCTCTATTTATTTGGTAACCCTACATTAATAAAGATTAGAGCTACAAGGGTGGTATGAAAAGTTTCCGACCTAACAAAGATACAAGATATTTTTTCAGATTCTTTTTTAATTTCTCAACATAGTCTTTTTTCAAATTATACACGGCGTTTTTCTCTGCAAAATAATTGTTCATGAAGGTGTTCATTTGACGAAAATTGGCGTTAAAGCAAAGAAGAACAGACCTTTAAACGTAACAATTTCTGTCGATCATTCAAATCGTCGGACACACTCTTTATGAGCTTTGAGACCTTTCCAATATGTTTTAAACCATCAAAAACCGCATGGGAGCTAACGCCCAGTTCTTCAGCCATTCCACACACCGTTTCTGATGGGTCAGGGTCCTCGAATCCTCGTCGTGGATTACTGTAGGTCGACCACTTCGGAGCTCAACTACAGAACGATATTTCGCAAACCAGCATTGAACAGTGCGTTTGAAGGATTCTGTACTGTGTTGTACTCTTCAATAAAGTGGACTGTATAATCTGAGCTAATTTAATTGATAATTTTGATTGAATAAAACGAATGCATAACTAAAATACACTGTATTACACTCGACAATCAAATGAATTCTGTCTCGTCGCTCTAGCATCACTACGTATCAACACACTGTCGTTGGCGTTGTTGCCGGACTTACAAAATGTAATAAAAAGAAAGAAATTCGTGAACAGCGTTCATTAACATTATCATTGCCAAATGCCTGATGAATTTTTCGGGCTGTTTTTGACAAGACTGAAGGTTTAAGTAGAGGGAGAAGTCGTCGGCAAACATATGCATATTTCAGTATTCCAGTACCTTCTGCGAGTCAGATGTAAAAATAGCAAAGAGAGTGGAGCGAGTATCGAACCCTGGGGTACGCCATTATTGACAATTCGGTTGTCTGAAGCTTTAGTAGGTCATATACACTGATGACTTGTGATTGGCTTCAAGCCAGTCTAAAATTCATCCATTAAACCCATTGTAATGGAGTTTGGCGATTAGACAGTCAAGGTTTACAGTATCAAGAGACTTAGACTTATCCAAAAGGGTGAGACTACTTCTTGATTGTCTAGGGCCTTGAGGAAAGAGTCTGTCATAGAACATAATATCCAGACTGTACCAGGATCCCTACGGGCCGAGGCTATTTACTACATGGGCTGAAAAGTATCCGGCCTAACACATAGATGGCGTTAGTGTCATTGCATTCGCCGCTTTTTTAGTTAGTGCTAACCTTCAAAAGAAAGATGTTGACATTTCATGATATTCTACCCATAAATTTGTGAGTTGTGCTAAGAGTGACACTACTTTTGTTATTTTCAAAACAATGGATCAAAAACAATTTTGTGTTTAAATTTTACACTGCTTCTTGATGGGAAAAAATACCGTTCAAGCGAAGCAATGGCTTGAAAAGTGTTATAAGTACTCCGCTCCAGTAGAAACAACAATTAAACGTTAGTTTGCTGACTTCAAACGCGGTTGTAGAGACACCGATAATGCAGAACGCAGTGGACGTCCACATGAGGCAGTAACACCAGGAAACAAAAAATCTACATAAAAGTTTTACAAAAGTGCCAATTGTGTCTTTCTTAGGCCCGGGACTTTTCAACCCATGTGTTACCTTTGTAAGAGGGCTTCTTAGGTGTAGGTTTTCCTTAACAAGAAACAACAAAAAGTATTTGTACAGAAATATTTATTACTTTGCGAAAGTTATAATGAAATCAATTTGTGGTTGCGATGCATTAATTTCAGGTTTTCCCTTTTTCGAGTTTGATAATTTCCACAATTCCGTCATACATTTCTTTGATAACTTCATATTCGGTGAGTCCCAACCGTCTTTTATTTGATATATCATAAATTCCATCTTCCGCCTCACTATGTTCTCCCCTCGTTCCACGAACCTGTAGATGATATTTCTCTGCAAGTTCGTTCAACTTTGCCATGTCCTTTGCTAGCTTCGGTACCTTGATATGCACAGAGGCTCTTATAGTTGTTCCGAGGTTGGTGGGACAAAACGTCAAATATCCGAGACGGTCGTTTTTCATGAAAGTAACTTTATTTTCGAGTTCGGTAACGGCCGATACAAATCTCTGGTACACCTGTCCCAGATCGCCGCCCTTTTGCAAGGATATAATACGCACGTGATCCTCCTCGTTTATCCAAACCAGAAACGTCTTATCTTCGTTGTGGAAAATACCTCTCCCGGTCGGCCAGAACCTACAAGCGTTGGCAGACTGCAGAAATCTGTCCCCTTCCTTGAACAGAAAGTGGTCGTCGATGAGTTTTTGTTGGATGTCTTTCGTCATTCCTGTTAGGGGGTAATAGTTTCCTTTCAGGTTTCCCTTCAAGCTTGATAAGGCGTTGGTCATCTTTGATTCGATTTCTGTGTACTGGTTTTGGGTAAGACAAGGGTTGAAGGGAAACCCTTCCAGCGATCTGCAGCACCTCACTCTTGTCGACACGACGAATTCGCCTTTCGGGTCTACGTTGCCGACGTCTTTAATGGAACCCCAGTCCGTGGTGGGATGTTTGCTGAATTTTTTGAATCCGACATGATAGTCTTCGATTATAGGGTTGAAGATATCTTCGAAAATGGTGTAAGTTTCAGGATCCGCTGCGTATATACCAATTCCCGAGTCTGGGTTCTCGAAACCTGATTGAACACAATCTAGAAGGGTAGATCCGAAAGAGGTTTTCTTCGTTTTGATTTTATCGAATATTTCCTGGGTCAAATATTTCTTCAGAAGAGATTTCGAGTCGGTTTTCTGGAAGTCCTTGAATGCTCGATCTAATTTCAGTAGAACGTCGTGTGGTACTTTTCCTTTGCCACATTTTTCCGCACATTTGTGACATTTAGCTTTTGCCATTTTTACGATAATTTGACAAACCATTTTTGCCAAGCCTTCTACTAACTTTCAATGAGTATACGTTTTAAGCAAATATACATAGTGTTTGGAAGGTTAGGTTAGGTTAGGTCCAAAGTGAGTGGGTCTATTCAACCCTCCACCTCAACGATTATTGTGGCTTACACCTATTCACACTCGACCAAATAAACCCAGTTTCCTAACGAAGCCGATTAGTTTGTATGATTAGTGGTCTTTCAAGTCAGATGGTACGGCTCCGGCTCTAAACTCTAAAGACCTGATTCGGTCCCCAGCGGGGCAGGGACAAAGTATATGCTCTGCTGTTTCATCGTCAATGAGGTAGTCGGATAGTCAAGGTGGAAGATTCCTACCTTGATACCCGCGACAACCTTCTCTAAGTCTACTTTAAGGCCCCCACAGACGTTCTTTTTCGACAGGATTACCCGACGTTCAAAACTGATCGGGGATAACGGTCGGTGTGTGGCAGAAAACCGTCGTGATTACCAGCGTTCCAAATCATCTGTTTTGATCTGATTTTTCATGACGGTTTTGAACGGGATCGTTCAAGTCGGCCCGTATGTGGCAGGCAGACCGTTAGTCACGAAGTAGATTGCAGTAATGTGCATATTCAGTGTATATAAAATGAGTGATTTGAGGCAATGCAGTAAACAATTTATGACGGAATTTATTGAAATGTAAAGAAACTTTCCATGTCCCTGTAAAGTCAAATCGAGCGAGTATGCTGACAGAGATAAAAAGAATAAGGCATACAAAGGTATGTTAACCAAGCTAATGGAAATTGATTCATTGGCAACAATAGACATGGTGAAAATGAGAATTGACTCGATTCGAGGAACATCTTTTTTTTTAAACATGGTATATATCTCCACAGGTTTCGGGTATGATGTGTCCCAAAGCTTGAGATATTATCGCTGAAAATTTCAAATCTTCGTAGCTTCTTCCTGTAGCGATAAGTCTCAAAGTGGCTGACATTCGTTCATGGGGGGGTTATACTTTGTCTCATGAGAGTGTCCTCTTTCTTGATTATAGGCGTTACTAACCTAAATAGTTCTAGGTACGTGTCTTCATCCATTCTCAGATAATTAAACCAATCACCTGTTTCTAACCGCAATTCCTCCAATAAGTTAACGTGAAAGAATTGTTTCCTTTTTAGAAACCACTCTTTTGCCCATTTAGAGCGCGTTCTCTTAGCATATTTAACTTTTATTGCTAAAACCGTGATTGTCCGAACAGTTTTGCACGTCGGGTAATCCTGTCGAAAAAGAACGACGTCTGTGAGGGCCTTTAAACTGTAGTAGACGAGAACCGTTTTTGTTTGGTCCTGATTGGCGAAGGTTCTACCGGTGAGAAAGTTATCGAAGGGTTTGAAAAGATGGGAGTCGGTTGGCGAGAGGTCTGGGAAATATGGTGGCTGAGGCAGAACTTCGAAGCTCAATTCGTTTAATTTTCGGGCGGTGATTTGTGAAACGTGCGGATGGGCGTTGTCGTGGAACAGGATCGGACCTCTTCTGTTGACCAGTGCCGGCTGCTGCTGACGCAATTTTCGGTACATTTCGTCGATTTCGTCACAATAGGACTCTGCTGTTGCTCGGTTGCAGAAAATTATAGTGAATCATATCAGCCGCCGACCACCATACAGTAACCATGGTCTTGTTTTTTGTCTGTATTCGCCTTTGGAAAGTGCCTGGGTGCACGGCCATGGCGTGGGTGTGGCGGCCGAGGCGGTCGCCTTGGGCCAGGGCCGTGATGCTGTTATTTATAAAAGCTGCCGTTTTTTCCAGTTCGGAATACGGCATGTCCATCGGCGGTGGATAGTGGAATGACTCTAAAGAGCTAGGGTATTATTCCCCCCCCCCCGAACCAAAACTGGAACGGACAAAAATACGGGTTTTGCCTTGGGTTCCTACAAACCACATGACGGCCCTGCCTGGGTGGCTCATCCAACCACTGTCCTGAACATTTGTTGTCGTAGAGAATTTACTTTTCATCGCATGTGACGATCCGATCTAAAAAAATATCGTTTTGGTTGCTCAAAAGCAAAGAAAAACAAACCTCGAAACGTGACAATTTTTGTCGATTGTTGAAATCGTGGGGCGTCCACTTTTAGAGCTTTTTCACCTCTCCAATACGTTTCAAACCTTCAAAAACCGCATGGAAGCGACGCCCAGTTCTTTCGTTACTGTTCGTGATTGGTCAGACTCCACCAGGGTTCTCAAATCCTCGGCCTGGATTACTGTTGGTCGACCACTTCGGGGCGAACAAGTGCCATCATTAACATCATCATTGCCGAATGCCTGGTAAATTTTTAGGCTTGTTTTTGCAGCGCTTTGGATCAATTTGAATTCGTAGAGAAAAATTGACCAAAAGCTGTAGTAATGAGCTGAAAAGAGGCAAAAAATTTAAATTTGGACAAAAATCAACAGCATCAATGTATCTATGGATCACTATATACCAAGACACAGTGGATTAAATATTTATTGAAACGAACAAATTTCTTGAAACAATAATTTTAAAAGTCTTTTCAGCACATGGGTGTTTAACTACTAGCTATTTGTTTTTCAAGTTCAACATCAAAATACAATATGTATCACCTTTCTGATCCAAAAAATTAGTTTAGCTATACAGCGTGGTAATTCAGTCTCTGTTTTTGGCACCATTCCATCGTCACATTCACTTGATGAAATTTTTCTTCATCCCGTTGTTTCCAAATCATATTCATATCCTAGTCACGACGAGATATTGTTTCTTCATAAAACCTGAAGACACTGAGAAATGTGATCAAGTTCTAGAATTATCTTCTTCTACCAAATTCAATAAGTCTGCCATTTCCAATTCAGTTTTGGACAGTTCAGCTTCGAATCCCTTATCACACTGATCCAGTGAAAGGATGAATCATCCAATATGTAATTACTCAGAAGAAGATAGCAGTGGCAAACGTAGAATCAATAGTTACAACACTAGTTCAGTGATACATTTTTCAGTCAGAACTCTTGGGTTGAAAAATATTGGAAACACCTGTTTCATGAACAGTGTAATCCAATGTTTATCAAACACGAGATGGTTGGTGGAATATTTAAAAATGATACATACATGGAAGATATCAATACTAGTATTTCTACTATGAAAGGTGCTTTAATCAAAGCGTTCGCAGAAGTTATCAAGGAATTGTGAATTTTCTGTGAAGATTCCTGCACTGACGCCTGTCGGATATAATCCAACGCCCTTCGTGGTATTAGCCAGGGGAGTAGTTGTTTTCTGATAGGTGTCAGTCCATTAAACCTACTGTGTAGGTATATAGAGACTGGCTTGAACGTTTGAAGTTCCATTTGCTTTAGATTTGTTTACACTGAATATTTCGAATCAAAATGATGACAGCATTTTAAGAACACAAAAAGGAAAGTTGCCACCAAACATCGTGTGAAATAAATTATTTTTGTAGGAGAAAAAATGGTGTTGGTATACGACGTTTTTCGGAGAAAATCATGAAAAACTATACTCCACCTACAACATTCACCGATTTTCACCTGCTATAACTTGGAAATTTTGCCCGTAATGAGGACAGTATTTTCTTTCCTCTATAACTATTATCGAGCTGTCATTACATTTTTTTTCTCAAGAATTATTTGCGTTAGCCTATTTGGCAAAACGGGACATTATGATATACAAAGAATAAGGAAGAAGAAAACAACTACTTACGCCGAAAAACAACTAATCTCTGTTAGGTATCTTGTATAACTGTCTGACGGATATAATTCAATATCCAGTGTGGTGGTAGCCGGGGAAGTAGTTTTTTCCGGTAGGCATTTACCAGTACCTACGGTGTAGGTAGTTGGGAGAGATGAATATTTCTAGATTTCGAGCGAAATTTCTTACCGGTGAGCATTTTTTTAGTAGTTTTGCTATTGTTTTGATTGTCTTGTGACACGGTGCGTTGTTTTGATGAAACAGAATTTTTTTCTTTGCCATAATGCTGTCGTTTTTCTGCAATTTTGGCCTTCAAACGTTCCAATAACACCCAATAACATCCCAAAATACCGAGGCCATAACCTTTCCAGCCGATTGTTGTGCTTTCGGGCGCTTTGGACGAGGTTAACCAGTTGCTCTCCACTCAGATGACGATTGTTTTGATTCCGGAGTGAAGTTTCACATATCGACGCAAAAATTCCGGTTTGTTATGTTTCAAGATGGTCAAACACTGCCCAGAATTACAAAGACATTCTTGTTTCTGGTCAACAGTAAGCTCGCTCGGCACCCACTTTTAACAGAGCTTTCTCATAGTCAAATACTCTTCAATAAAAAGCCAACACGTTCTTTTGATATATTTACAATGTCGGCTAATTCACGCAACTCCACTTTTCGATCATTCAAAACGAATTTTTGTTTTTTTATGTTTTTTGGTGTTACTGCCCACTGTACTGTAGTACAGCTACCGGACTGAGTCTTTGCCAGTGGGATAAATCATATCTGCGTAAAGTTTGGGAAAAAAGGAATAGAAACTTTTGTTTGCATAGTACAGATTAAGGGATAAACAATAAATGGATATCAAAATACCATTTGGTTTCTTGTAGATATATAAAAAGCAGTTTATGTATAGGCAAATTCGGGAGGGAGGGGCTTCTCACCGGCTATGACTCACTACGGCAACTGTAGAATATTATGAAATTCCAACAGCTTCTTTTTGAAGGTTACTACTAACTGAAAAACAGACCTAACACATCGCGCCATCTATGTGTTGGGACAGAGACTTCTCAGCCCAGGTAGTAATCATTTGATATCATTAGAGTGTTTACACAGTTATTAACATGGGATTTAGTAGCATCAGTTGTTAGAATTCTGCCTTCAATATGCCGTATAAATGTGATCATTCAGGTTTTACCTTTTGGACAATGAATGCTATTATAATTATTATTATTACTTTACAGATAGTCCCAGGAGGACATAATCACCTGGCTGATAGATTGTGGTCTTTGCCTGGTCAACCAAACGGTATCCGTTTTCCTACATGTCTATCAAAAGCCCAGCCATTCTTGGTTGAACAAATGCAAGCTTTGAATTTAGAAGGAGAAAATTCGTTACATCGTTCAAATTCGTCCGATGCCAGTAGTCCTAACAGTACACCACCTGGCACCCCTTCGATGATTCCCGTTGCCATCCAGGGTCTCAGCAGAGAAGAGCCGAATCCAGGAAGTAATGTGATATCAGTAGTGACTGGTCCGGGAGCTATAATTCCTGATAGAACTTCTCCACCTCCGCCGTTTAACAACAGCTCTGTGCCTTACAGTTTACCGCAGCCATTCGCAACTGTACCCCCCAACAGGTCAATGTTCCATTATAACCCAGCCTACAGACCAACCTTCACAGCTCAATATCCCACCTATCAGTCTGACACCAATTTTCCTACGTTCACCTTTCCTTACTTTCCTCTTGTGTATTCCAGCCCCTTTCAACCGAGAGCGACTCCGCCGGGGTGTTTCAACTGCGGCGCCCTGGGTCATGTAGGTAGTGAGTGTACGAGTCAGAACATAGAGGACATCACCCAGAAGAAGACCTATCAGCTGGAGTATACCGCGCCATTGCCGGATCCGGAGAAATGATGGTGCACAGTTTTTTATGTGATTTGAACAGTTACCGTACTGTTTTAAAAGTGTAATATAGGATGAAAAGTTTTTATTAACCGTAAGTTTATCTAATTTATGATGCATTATTTTTTATAATTCCTTTGCAGCATTGGTTGAACATAGTTTGAAACCTGCTCTATTTTATTCGAATGTATCTCCAAAACAAGATCGTTTTATCTCCTCTCATGAGTAATTGATTTTAAAAAATGAAATGAGTATTAGAAATATTGAGAGAACAAAGTCGCACCTTTGAAGTTTTTATTTTAATAAAATAAATTCAGTGAATTGATTTGTATGTAATACGGGGGTAATCTAAAAAGTTTCTAACCTAACAGAGATACAAGATATTTTTTCAGATTCTTTAGTCTTTTTTTAACTCTACACGCTTCTCCCGGCGATGCTCCCATCTCCCATTTGACGAAAATATCGGTTTTCCGAGCGCAGGTTTTAGATGAGGGACCAAAAAGAAGTTAGTTGGGGCTAGATTTGGTGAGTAAGGCGGATGATCATGCCGTTCAAACCGTAATTCGTGGATTTTCGCCATGGAAAGCGCCGAGGTGTGAGACGGTTCGTTGTCTCGGTGAAACAGGATTTTCTTTTTCCGCAAACTTGGCGGATTTTCCGCAAACTTGGCCGATTTTCCGCAAGTTCTGCCTTCAGCTTGTCAAGTAATGATGCTTAGTATACTCCTGTAATGGTTTTTCCATTTTAAAAATAATCGATTAAAATAATTTCTTCATGACTATATAACCTGTGCTATATCTCTCACTTCAATTGGGCGGTCGTCTAGCACCATTTGGTGAACTTTGGCGAATAGGTGGAAAGGTTCTTCCGACATTTCATAATTTTTTTGTAGTCGGGTAAAATTTTTTCCCAGCCACAAGTAGATATTTCGGAGAACCGAATTTAGTCACCAAACTGTAGAGAATTACAGTTTCTATCAATATTTCTATTGCTTTTTTTCAGCAACTTTGTCAGTCTACTAATTTTGTAGCATATATTTTTAATATTTGTTGACATTCAGCTCTGTTCAAGGATTTTTTATAACTTCAAATATTTCTTGGGTGCTTTAGTGATATCTATTTCAGTTGATTTTCAGCAGGATGCAGTACTTATGGTAGTCAGTGTCATATTCAAAGTGGATACTTACTCTAGCTTAGATCAAAGGTTTTTTTGTTACAGCCATTAAGTACCACATGATACATTCTCAGAACATTCTTCAAATTTCAGATTCAATACATGCTATTAATTAACTTACTAATAAAATTTATTATGATTTTCACTACTGTTTGGAGAACCTTTTATAAAATGTCATTATTAAATTTATTTTGATTTTTACTATAAAAGGTTTGTAATACCGCGATGTTGTAAAACCTTTTATAAAATTTCATTTTTCAATGTAAAAGGTTTACAATACCAAAGTTTGGTTGAATCTTTTATAAAATTTTATAGAATTTATTTTCATTTTCACTGTAAAAGGATTATCGTGATTTACAATACCGCGGTTTTCTAAACTTTTCATAAAATTTATTTTTATATTCATTCTAACCGCAATTCCTCCAATAAGTNTGTGCCTATCAAAAAAAGATCTAACAAATTAAACAAATGCTCATTTCTACGTTTCGAAGGCTAAAGTTTGCCTTCATCTTCAGAGTTGGAAAAAATCTAGTTTTTTATTTGATTACTTTTATTTTCAAACATTGACATAGATGTCAAAGGAGTTTTCTTTTACATATATGGAGGACGTTTAAAAATAAAGCAAACCAAAGAAAAAACTGCAAGGTTCGTTAGATTTTTTCAATTCTGAAGATGGAGACAGACTTCAGCCTCCGAAACGTTGAGATAAGTATCTGTATAAATTCCTGGCACTTTTTTTGAAGGCACAATTATTAAATACGACAAGTTACTGATAAGTAGAACATTGTGGAAAATACTTTGAGTTTACACAGTAACTGTCAGTAAAACTGGTCAATAAAAAACATAAAATATACTTGTGGGAAGAATTATTTTTTTAGAACATCAAAAATGTCGTTGGAAGCATTTCTTTTCAATATTTAGTATGTATTTTCGTGTTCACTATGTAGGAGTAAAGCACTTTCGAGCGGCAATGATCTAGATGCTTACTCAGTTAATTTCTTTCATCTTTCATGAACACGATTCGATTAATAGGGAATAAATCCAGGTAATATACATTTTATTCAGTGGAAATGTAAAAATACTTTCTTCTAGAAATTTCAAAATGTATGCTTTTAGGTTTAAGTGTTCACCAGTTTGAATTGAACTGAAAAGTCTATCCAGTGATTATACCAAAATTTTTTAGTTGTTTTTTTTTGTTTAAATTAACTCGGGTTTGCCATTTTTATTTATTTTTTAAAAGACCCTTTAATTTATATGACGAGATATTTTTATTGTGATTCTTGTTGTCTTTTTATAATGCCAATATTGTCTGTCTATATCTTGTTCTGTAAATTATCATGGTTTTACTGTATATAGAGTAGATATATAATAGTTATTGAATATTGATATATTTATATTAAATACAATCAGTTTGACTGAAAGTTTAACTTAATTTGAGTTTAATAAAGATTGAAGTTTTTTAAAGTTTCAGTTATTTTTCTTTCTCTGCAGTTAAAACTGTCCCTCCAAAGTCTTGCCCAGTTACCATAGTAAAGTTTTTTGCCTCTTCAACAAAAGACTATCTGTGGTATTTCTTCAAATTACGTTAAGGTGTTGATATAATCCTTAAGAACTAGCATTTTTCCAGTTCCTTAAAATTCAGTTAACAAGTTTTGATTTAACTCATACTGACTTTAATAAATATTTAAGCTTTCTAAAGTTTCACTTATTTTACTTCCGGTGCAGTTAGCACTATTTCTCTCAAGTCTTGCTCAGTTACCAATTGTTAAGTTTTTTGCTGTTCTTGAACAGTGTGTGATATTGAACAAGATACTTTTTGTGGTATTTCCTCATATTACTTTAAGGTGTTGATATAATCCACAAGAATTAGCATTATACTAGCATATTACTTTAAGGTGTTGATATAATGCAGAACTACTAACATTTTTCCAGATGAATAAAATTCAGTAAAAAAAATAATTTTGGAGAAAATTGTGATTGACACCTGTCAATAATTCATTATCTCAGTTCTGAAACCGTTCTTATAAATTGGTGTAACTATGGACAACTTCAAACATGATGCAAAGTATCCTGTCTCAATAGCCTGATTGAATTTATAAACCATAGATTCAGCAACATATTTTGATACTAAGTTACATGTTTCAACTGTTAGATTGTCTACCTAAAGTGCTTTTTTAATTTCAGTTCTTATATTTATCACATCAGTAGGTATTGCTGGTTGTAGAAATATTGAATACTCATTTATATATGACCCTAACAAAGACACCATGTATGCGGTTGACAGATAAATCAATTCTTGAATATCAAAAACACAATGCATTTATGATTCAACACCAGGCAGCTTTTCCATGAAAATTCCATGAACCTTTTAGAAATTGACAATTTACATCTGTTACCCCGAGTCAAGAGTATTGGAGAGATGTTGGGTGATAACAAGAAGATTGGATTCCGTAGACCTTCATTTGATTAAACTAATATTAGAAAGAAACTTCCTCGAGTATACAAAGCAATCAATATATTTCCACAGAAAACCTTCAGTATTGAATACTATTTGCATGTAAATAAATATCAACTACAGATTATTGCAAACATCTACTCAGTAATAAAGTATACAGAACAAAAGCAATATCAAAATTCATTAAATACACAAATAATGTTAAAAACTCATGGAAAACCGTCATCATCTTCCTCGGCCATTTCCTTCGCTAGTTCCAAGTCCTGCTGTTCCCTTTCTCTCCTTTCTTCAGCAGATTCCAGCTCCTTTCCATAAGCCTTTGGAGGGTATCTCATCGCTTTCACACTCTGGTTGTGTAAATCCAAACAAAACGATATTCGCTGATGAAAAGCCATCTGAGGTTCCTTTGTGCAATAAATATCTGTACTTTCCTTGCTTCTCATATACCCAGCCTGAGGGTCAAGGGTTGCTTCTATAACTCCATCTCTAATTGCTTTCGCAACAATGAATTCAGCATCTTCCGCTGAATCAAGTCCCAGTTTCTTGGCGATATCTTGAGGAGAAATTCTCGAGTAAGATAATCCGATGGATCTTATTGCCGTTTTAATGACATTGTGACGTAAACGTAAAATCAGCGTGAATGTATGGTCTTGCCTGAACTGCGGTCCAAAATTCTCCAACACCTCGCCAAATCGTTGTAAATTTCCCATACGGACAGCTTGAGTCAACTGAAAATATGGAGCCAAAGAATGCCTCATACTGGACTGTCTGAATATCTGCCTTTCCGGTATATCTCCCAGAAGGAGCTCAACTACGACGGTGAGTTTTTGCACTGTTTGGCGGAATCCAATAGCAGCGTTCTGAGGCGCTTTCCTCATAGCTTGTACAAGATGTTTCTGAGCAACACTATACTCTAATCGAGCCGCTTTGATACGACCTAAATAGTATAAAAATCTTGCCCATTCATTGTTGCTGGCTGTCTCTGGAAATACACATTTGCTCACCAGTTTATCTGCTTGATCATATAACGAGTAATGCAGGTAATTTCTTAGTAAACAATTGACAAGAACTGCTTGACCTTCAAAATCATTTCGAAGCGTAGCAGTACGAAGACGTGAGTGCAAGAAAGCTCTGATTGTATCAAGTTTATTTGAAAGTTCAGCAACTCTAGAGTGATAAAAATAACACTTGGCAGCTATGTGATCTATGGTACGTCGATTTTGAGTTGTTATTTTGTTCATTAGTGCCTGAGAACACCTTTCTGCTTCTTGTAGTTTATTGGTATCAATGAGACGAACCAAAATCAATAAATTTATATATGTATCAACCTCTGGTAATGGCGATTTGGTGGCAGATCTGGCCCTTGCCTGGGTGGTGTCTAAATCTCCAACAGCTTCTTCAGTGAAATTCAGCAGAGCTTCACGTTCGGAGACTGGATAGATTTGATTGATAAGACTTCTCAGAACGACACCATTCAGTTTTCTTCTTGTATTGGGTAAACACCGTAGAACTCTTAGAATAAAACGGTTTTCTTTACTAGTGACGGACTTCTCTATTTGCCTGGCATGCTCACGAATCTCCAAAACACTTTGTAGGTCTGTATCACGTTTGCTGTCCCCAGCTTCCAAACCTGGAGGGCTATCAGCGTTCTTCATTTCGACGTCTGTTTCAACCAGACCCATATTTTTTTGTATATATAATATACAACTTAAAGAATTCAGAAACTATTAAAGAATGATTAACAATTCTACACAAAAACTGTCAAATATCAGACTAATATTTGCTGTGTAATCTATTTGGCAGTGTTGCCACTACCAGCACAGTATTTCTGTATACAGAAATACTGTGCTACCAGTGAGTTTTGAATTTTGTGAAAAGAATCCGTTTGGGAATCCAAATAGATAACATTACGTAGGTAGGAATTATTTTTATCAGTCATAGTTCTACCATTTGTAAATTTGTTTCAAATATATAGTAGTATATAAGCCCTTTTTTTCTAAAGAATACAAACTTCACGACACATGAAATAAAATGACGTTATTCATTCATTTTAGTAGACTTATATGGCAGAATAAACTAGTAATGTCCAAATCTTGATAAGCATTATCAAGAACCAATGTCTTTATGAAATCACCAATCAGGCCAATGTAAAATTTTTAACAAAATTCGTAACTCTCGTGATTTAGTCTGGGGTAGCTTGAAGCCAATCAAGCCTGTAATGCGAAATATACAATATTGTACTTGTTTCTCTTCCACTGTACATGTAGTTAAATATTTCCTACCGAAAAAGTATAAATCAGTTGATTCTCAATTTGTTCAGATGTTGGGACATCTTTTGTCTTCCTCACCTTAACCAGATGAATTATGGACCCAAGATGATGTTGGAGGAACCGGTTGAGTGAGTGCTCAGATATTTGAAAGGTACTTTTGACTGTGCATTGACATTTGAAAAATGGTAAAGGAGCTCATTGGTTTTCCTGACGCTGATTATGGAGTTCGTATCTAAGATAGACGTTATTATACTGGAGATGTTTTTATTCATGGAGAAGCAACAATCTTCCAACTTCCTAAATGATGGATTATATTTTAACGGAGTCATTGAATGATAGAAAGGATCAGTTTTTTAAAGAAACATGGGTGTCCTGAAAAGAAGCTGATACATTCTAAACTGTATCAGAGACTTTCATGATTCGATTTTTCACTTGATACTTTTTTGTGGAAAATAATAAAAATGGATTGACCAAAACCATCTCTTCTGTTATAAATGTTCTGTGCATCAATCCAAGGTCACAGATTGATCTTTGCTCATTCGCTCTATGACACTATGACATTTGACAGAGAAGCTACAATAAGAAAAAAGAAATGACATGAGCAGAAGATGAAATACCAATGCGAGGTCTGTGTTTTTCAATGTCTCCTAGCATTTGTTACGCTTGCCGACCCCTTAGACAAGGAAAGATATTACCTAATCTAAGGCCGACCCCCACGAATTTTTTTCGCATTTTATACAATGCCATTTTATCTAAGTAGATCATTTTGTCTCAGAGTGCCTCAGACCCATCACGAAGAAACGAACGGTCAAAAACAACTCAATCACCTCTTTTGCTTTCATTTTTTGTGTAACTATCAATTACCGACTGTTCTATGCTATATATTTATCTAATAAAATTTGATATTTTCACATAGAAAAGTGACAAAGATATAAGACATAATATATATTTGTTTTTTTTTACATTTTTCATGATCAAAATTTTTTTAAATTTCGGATACAGGAAGCTTTTTTGAGGTTGGGATTCAAGAATTCCTCTATTTTTCTATGAATTTTTATATTTCAGGCTTATCGATCAGATGCTGTGTATTAGATTTGTTCCTGTTCTTAGTTCGTACTGTTCCCAACTCAGAGTAATAAAAAATATTTATATCATTACTCTGAGGTTCCCAATCGTCCACAATCAGTGAATCAGTTGTGGACTGAAAAGCTCGAAATGTTCAGTATTCAATTTGGTGACCGTTAGGAACATACCTGTCACAGAACAGGCCTGAATTTCGCGGAAAATAATTTTATTGGGTTGGCGACAGTGATCGTAACACATGCATATATTGCTTGTTTGGTTTTCTGTTATTAAATAACATTTTTAATTTTAATTATGAAATATGCATAAAGCAATAGGTGTTCTCTGGTAATATGCATATTCGGGATCGAACAAGAAATGTTTGAAATCGAATCCAGCCATCCAGATTTTGAAGGATACTATAATTACAATTCTTTAAATGGTATAGAGGTATTGGAAGGCAGCAAACTGATGTATGACAACTTTTTTAAAAATTACATGTTACCAAACATTCCTTGTGTAATCAAAGGAGTTACAAGTAACTGGAAGTCGTCACAACTTTGGGTAAAAGATGATGCACCGAATTTCCAATATTTAAGTGAAAAGTATGGAAACAACAATGTAACTGTTCACAAATGTTCTGAAAGATATTACAATTGTCAAAAATCATATAAAACTACTTTGACTGATTATTTAGAATATTTCCAAGAATGCACATCCCAAGATTCCAATCCCTCGAAATTGGAATATTTGAAAAATTGGCATCTAAAACTGAAATATCAAGAAGATGATTTTTACGAAGTTCCAATTTTCTTCGCATCAGATTGGTTGAATGAGTATTACACACACTGTTCAGACGATGACTATCGATTTGTATATATGGGCCCGAAGGGCACTTGGTAAGTACAAGGCTCGTATCCCACATTCCAAATTGAAATGGATTTGTTTAGGACACCATTCCACGCAGATGTCTTTATGTCTTATAGTTGGTCCGCCAATGTTTGTGGAAGAAAGAGATGGCTCATTTTTCCACCAGGCGAGGAAATTTACTTGAGAGATGTATTTGGAAATCTACCATATGACATCGAGAATGAAAATCATTCCCAGAAATTTTTCGAAGTTATCCAAGAAAAAGGAGATGCAATTTTTGTGCCATCTGGATGGCATCACCAAGTCTGGAATATTGAAGATACCATCTCAATCAATCACAACTGGATTAATGGGTGTAACATAAAAATGATGTACGATTCATTGATAACAAACTTCATTGCTGTTCAGAAAGAAATTGAAGACTGCAGGGAAATGGAAGATTTTGAAGAACATTGCCAACTGATGTTAAATTCATCGTTTGGAATGGACTTTCATAAATTCTATGAATTTTTGAAATTTATTGCCTCTTCACGAATTGATATGAAGAAAGGAACATCACCCAAAACTTCATTCATTGGGCACAAGATAGGTCCTAATCACATTTTATTCGATTTGAAATCTGTTAAAACTGTTTTGGAACTATTTATTAATTTAGAAGAAGTCAATAGTTTGAAATATTTTATTGATACTGATGTTAAACCATTAGAGTTACTGCATCAAGTTACAGTTGTTTTAGATACTTGATGTTGGAAAGTTTGGTTTGGTTGTAAAGGTTTCAAAGTTAATATTCTAGCAGAAAATGAGGTACTAATCATTGACTTGGCCTCGACGAAAGAAGATTTATTGAAAACAATAAAGACAAAACTTCAGTGTCGGATAGATCAACCATCCTTTATCACGACATGAGTTCAATCATGACTATGACGTGTTACATTTAGAAAGAAAAGTTTGAAACTTATCTACTGAATGACCAAATAGAATTGAATAACTCAAAGTTACTGAATTTTTTTCAAATGTGGAAACTGGTTAATAACTGATAAATAGGCTCATGGATTTTCATTCATTACATGTTTATTCAAATGAGTTTGTACACTTTTTAATATTTTCTTATGATGATGTTGATCAATTTATTCTCAAATTCAGATACTTGAAATTCAGCTTTTTAAAATTGTAAAAACATATGAAGCAATGAATATGAAGGTTTTGGTTATTAAGGACACAGATGAAGAATCTATTTTATAGCAGAACACAAGTTGCTTTTTTGTAAAATTATAATGATAATCTCACAATAAAGTGTTTCTTGAATAGTTACCATTGTGTTTGATTAAATATTCAAATGTACCCATCGCAGGTATTGAACGACCCGAAACACAGTAAAGGCGTGTTCAGGCCTATAAAGACACGCCTGAAAAAGCTATTGTAAAGCGAAACACGTGTTGCGTTTTAAAAAAACGGTGTAGTGAAAATCTCGTAATGAAGTGTTATGAGACTCAAAAGCCCTATTGAAGCATATTCTTCTCTATTTGCGCACTCTCAAGAAATGTGCAGTTTTACTCTGTCACTTTTCAATATCTCTGATTAATATCTCTGTGAAACATGGATTTTTTTTCGAAAAAATTGAAAATGACACTGATTACTCATATAATAATAATACGTCTTTATTCACCATTAAAATACAAATGGAATGGACAAAAATAAAATAAAATAAAACAGTATACAGGAACAATTAACAAAAACAAAGAAAAAATCTTCTAGTATATGGTGAATAGGCGGAGTATCAGCCAAGGCTGTTTTTCAACTCAACCTGGGAGAAACTATAAATAAATAATATGAACACAAGTCAAGTTAACAATATCAAAAAATTCTAGTTATTAGTTATTGCTTTACTTTAGAAAATTCATTTTAGAAATGCCAAGGTTGGGAACTCACAAGAGGCTAATGAGATAAATAATAAGTCTTCAGTCTTTTTTTATTACGATGGTGTATGATCGAAATTCGCAGGGTAGTTGATTATAATATTTGGGTGCATTATACGAGAAGCAGCGGGTGAAGATGGAAGATTTGTGTTTGGGGATGACTAGAACTGAATTGTTCCTTGTAGTAAAGCTGTTAATCGTAGAGAATGTTTTAAGCTTCTTCAGTAAGTAATCTGGTTGTCGAGTTATCAAAACTTTATGTGTGTTGGTAAGAAGGTGTAGAGTTCCAAGTTTCTTAACATTTAACCATCCTGATTCTTGCATTGCTGGGGATATATGGTCATATTTCCGAATACCAAACGAAAAAAGTAGACAGCTATTCTGAATACGCTGTATTCGGAGAGCATCCGATTGTTTTAAAGCAGGTCCATAAATACTGTCGCAATAGGAAATTTTTGTCATAATCAGAGACTCGCATAGTCTAAGTTTTGAATTTGTGTTGAGCAAATCACGATTAGGAAAAAGCTGTCTGAGAACGTTATAAGAAATTGGTTAAGATATCTGACATGTTTAGTGAAGCGAAGATCCAGATCAAACCACCATATCTTCACAAAAGGTGAGTGAATCACAAAAGCTTTTATTCCACATAATAATATTTACAGACTTTCAAAAAGCACCCAAAAATCTAGTGTCCTCAAGAATTTTCATTCGTTTTCCAAGGCTCGCTTAGTGTAACCGGTATATTTTCTTAGTTTCTCGTTCAACATTTCAAAAAACGGATTAGATTTTATTTGGAACTTATGGATTCATATATAGACCAATTTGAAAAGTTTGCGTGTTTCTATTGGTTGCATCACAAATTTTCTTTTCTTTAGAATTTAAGAACACGCCTATGATACTGACATACTTCATATACTAGTGATGCCAATATGGTGATTTTTTCCTAAATTTAGGAAAAAAATTTAAATAAAAGGAATTTTTCGGGTGAAAAATTGTTGAGAGTATTTTCAGGGGAAAAAAGGATAACAACGGCATTTTCTATTCACAGTGTTTTTGAAAATGAACTAAGAAATAAATTATCGCTGGAGTTGCTGCAAAGCTTAAAGGATAGTTAATATTAGAACGATTGTGATAATATTTTTGCGGTTCCGCAAATTTGCCTCAATTGTCAAAATACCCTGTTCATGTTGAAGCGGGCAATATCTAGGGATTTCATTGTTGAATTTTAAATTTTATTACATGAACCTGAATGATGACATACGACTCATATGAATTACGACTTTTAAGACCAGACTCCATTATATCAGAATATAGGACTAACAATTTTCTCAAGTTTTGTTTGATAGGAGCGTGTCCTCAAACCACTTATCTTAACGTTACTGCCTGCAAAGGGCGAGGGGTTCTTTTGCAAAATGAGTTTTCTTCAATGAGGGGCCAACCAAATTCAATAATTTATTGAATAATGAGAGAGTGAGCCTGAAATAGTTGAAATATTTCTCTGGATCACTAATTCTCATTTATTTCAGCTACAAGATTGTGATATTCTCCATATTTTCTTCTATTTTTGAAAATATTTCCCACTATGAAGACGGGGTTTTCTCAATGAAGCTTTTTACGGTAGAGATGATATAATTTGAACAACCTGACACATTCGTCCATTTCGGATTCAATTTCGATGTATGGGATTAAAAAACGAGAGTCAAAGCAATATAACTACTTTGTATGTTGACGCATAACAGTTTGCGGAAATCGCAAAAAAGTTCAATTTTTTCAACTTTTTTACAATAAACACGACGCCATTTTAAATCGCACTTTTTATGCGATGTTCGTTTCAACATGAACTAGCCTTAATGATGGTAATTTAGCATTCAAAGGAATTTTGGTTCGTGTGTGAATTTTACTCCGTGTTCTAATATATGTTAAAAATGTTTCAAGTAAGAATTTATGACTCCAAAAAATTTGAGACGAATGAAGAACAATAAGCTAATGTTTTCTTTGAAATCATACGCGAGTTAGGAATCAATATCATCCAACATAAAGGTCAACTCTATCTATAAATCTTCTGTAATAATTTAATTGAACCTCATTATTTGAAACTTTTATGAATTTCATCATGATTGAAAATATTTTGTCATATTTTTCATCAACTGCCGTAATTAAATTAACCAAAAAATTAGGGTACCTTAGTTTGAATTTAGGGAATTTGAAATAGTCTTAGGGGAATTTTTTTAACCCAATGGCATAACTGCCATATTGACACTGACAACTGTGACACTGACAATACTGACAACTGACATATCAAATGAAAATTTTGATGTATTTATATTATGCTACATAGAATATAATTTGACTTCCTCTAGTAAAAATACATAAAAAATATGGAAAAGGAAAGGTAGGCTGTCTTAGAAAATTCACAGTTTTGTTCTTTTTGTTCTAGAAATGTCTGAGATATTCTGATAAAAATTATTTCAGTTTACTTTTTGAAGTTGTTTGGTAAAACCCATATGTACAAATATCTAGAAATATTTAATAATAGAAAAAAAAATGCTTACCCCATCGGAGTACTTGAGTATTCTCAAAGAACTTCAGCAAATCATATGCCATCATAAAAAAATCGACCTATATAAAAGTTCTTTGGATACCATTGAAAACAATCTGCTAAATGTAAACCTAACCAAACCAAAAGTAAAAACAATTTTGGGTGTTTAATTTAAAAAAATCTTATATTCATCAATGGGAGTGTTCCATAGTATTGTTACAAAAAGTCTTAGTTATATCAAATCATACAAATTGAATTTTTAAAATTACTACTGCTGCCCAAGAAAATAGATTATAAAATGGGAACATTGCATTTATTCAAAATTTGTGGATTAGATTACTTGACTTCGAGAAAATCATGTGTAGTTGTTTTTTTACTTCACTATATTTTCAGGTTCTCACTTCTGCAATTGGATCCAGGAGAAATTTATTTTGAAGATTTCAGTGCAATTTTCATTCCACCTGATACAACTCCAAAAACATATGAAACTAAAAAACAAGACGGAAGACTAAAAATGTGTTCCAAGTCTCTGATATTTGATCCTAAGGACATTAATAAGCCTATTGTCAAAATACCTTTCAAAGACTGTGTGGTTATTGAGCAGTGGAAGGGAAGTGCCAAATTTCTAAATAGTAACAACGTGCTCAGTGTCAATTGCAGGGAGTACATAGAATTATTGGAGAAAAATGTTATTGCACCCTATCAGTTCAAAGGATCTGCAAATTTTCTATTTCTATTGAACTATGCAAATATAACGAACTGTTTACCACAGATTTCACAGTTACATAGAGCTAGTAGTCTTCCGGCTGCCGAACAATCAGATATGGTTAGTTAGACATTATTTCCATATATGATCTTTTGTGAGGTATTTGTATTTTTCACTAGCCACTTTGATCTTTGAAAGGATATCAAATACATTTTCTGTTCAACAGGTTGTGACAAAATATTTTTTCAGATAGCAACTATTGTGCACTCAAGACAATGTAGAGACAATTTTGACCCAAGGTGGATGGATTTGTATGAAAAAATAATAATGGATTTTCAAGCTGATAAAATCACCCCACTTGTTGTGAATCCAGGAAGAATAGTGCTAACAAGCACTAAATTGTACTTTCAACCTTATAACCAAATGGGAGAGGTAATAATTTCAACTGATTTTTCTCAAAAAATTTTGATTTATTCATCAACTTCTATGTTGTTCCCTTCAGAGTATCTCCCCTGAGATGTGTTTGGGAACAGTACTTGTTTTGAATTATTTATGACAGGAGCTTTTACCATCTGAAGTATTTGTGAAATTTGTACACATGTCTTTTGTTTTTGTAGGTTATGTGGATTTACTGATAGTAGCACCATTTGTTGTTAGCCTACGAACTTTTCAGCCCATTTAGTACTCTCCATCACGTTTTTGTCAGACTGCTTGGATGTATTTATACATTTATGCTTTAATAATGAAAAATAAAGATTTATTATTATCATTATTATTGTTTCAGTATCCATTGAAAATTGATCTCAGAAGCATCAAACAAATTGTGAAAAGAAGGTTCCTATTAAGACACATTGTGAGTAGATACACTTCCTACAATATTGCCATAATAAGATATATTTTTAGGGTTTAGAAATATATTCCAACGCTAACTCCACAAACCATACATACTTTTCCCTTCGAAATCAAAGTTTGAGAGATACATTGTACGAACAATTATTACAACATCCAGAATTGAAACTTAATGACATACAGCAAGATGTGATGACTTTACAGTGGCAGAACGGTGTGATATCAAACTATGACTACCTTTTGTATATTAACAGGTGAGATATTTCATGTTTCTTTTTGGTCAGGTTCTGCCATGTCTATTAAGCAATGATGAAACACACACACACACAGATATACACTCCATACAGTCACAGACACATATGCCACATAGATATACAGATACACAGGCTACACAGACTACACACACACACACACACACACACACACACACACACACACACACACACACACACACACACACACACACACAGACTACACACACAAACAAACGCAACACACTCCACAATAACACACACACGCCACAATAACACACACACAAATGCAACACACGCCACAATAACACACAGACACACACGCCACAATAACACACAGACACACACGCCACACAGACACACAGGGTACACAGACACATACTTCACATATACAAAGGACACACAGACACAAAGGCCACACATACACACATCACACAGGCTACACAGACACAAAGGCCACACAGTAACGTCATACAGACATACAGGCACATGCCACAGACACACTCGCCACAGACAGAAACACAGGCCACACATACTACACAGACACAAAGAGGCGACACATACACAAAGAGGCTTCACAGGCACGTCATACAGACACACACGCCACAAAGACACACAGGATAAACAGACACACATGACACTCAGGCCACACACGACACTCAGGCCACACACGCCACACAGACATACGCCACAGACACACACGCCACACAGACACACGCGCCATAAAGACATACATATTGAGTTTTATTAAAACGCAACACATGTTTTGCTATGCAAGACCTTCTTCAGGCATATGAATACACGTGTGAAGTATAGGCACATTAGTATAGATACACTTGAAGAATCTATTTTATAGCGAACACATGTTATAGAGTAATGTGACACATTACACTAAATGTACGTAAATATCTTGAATGTATTATTTTCTTTCAGTCTAGGTGATCGAACTGTCAATGATTTGACACAGTACCCTGTTTTTCCATGGATCATATCAAATTATACTTCGAGAGAATTGGATTTAGATGATTCTGCAAACTACCGTGATCTATCAAAACCAGTAGGAGCCTTGAACAGTACCCGTTTATCACGTTTATTAGAAAGATATAACGAGATGCCAAATCCGAAGTTTTTGTACGGTTCACATTATTCAACACCGGGATTTGTTCTTTATTATTTAGCCAGACTCTACCCGCACTATGTTTTATGTTTACAAAGTGGCAGGTTTGATCATCCCGACAGAATGTTCAATGCTGTTGCAGATGCATATAAAAACTGTTTGAGTAATATGTCCGATTTCAAGGAATTGATACCGGAGTTTTATGATGTCGCAGAAGGCGGCAAATTTTTACTGAATAATATGGGCATCAATTTTGGATATCGACATAATAATGTTAAAGTTGGCGACGTTCAATTACCTCCTTGGGCACAAAGTCCTTCGGAGTTCGTAAACATTTTGCGGGAGGCTCTGGAAAGTGACATTGTATCGAAAAATTTGCACAAAAAAAGATGTAAATTTGGAAGAAATGAAAAGCATCAATTTGTAGAGTACAAAGGCCTTTATCAATTAGTGTATATCACGACGCAGTTAAATAAATATTTACTGAGATATGGAGCTACAAAACATGACATTTTGAAACAACCTATAAGCCTATTCAACTTAATAAACATTTTATTAATTTTTGCTTTTAGTATTTTATCACCTTTGTTATGAAGGAGCTGTTGATTTGGATTCAATTCCGGATCTGAACGAAAGGCACGCCTTGGAAGTTCAAATCATGGAGTTTGGACAGATACCGAAGCAAGTCTTCAAAGTTCCACACCCTAGACGAAAATTAGGAGACTCCATTCCAGTTGAACCCTACCAGATTCATCAGAACAAAATCATTTTAGACGGTCAGTCGGTACATTTGTCTTTCACAACGTATATAATAACGTGACATTTCAGATCAGTGGAAGAATGCGGAGAGTTTGGATTTACATACCAGCTTCAAATCTCATAAAAACACCGTGAGCCATTTATTCATAAATGAAAATGGTACTCAAATTACATCAGTAGGACACGATTCTAAACTTAAAATCTTTTCTTTGTCTCAGAACAAACAAATAAGAAGTGCCAGTATTGGAAATATGCCACTTTCTAGTTGCATTCAGCTGCCAAATATCAACAAACTTGTGGTTGCCAGCTGGGATAATGAAATGTGAGTGTTCGTGTCCGATTAAAATTCACAGATGAACCATTGAAAGTTTTTTGATCTATTACGATACAATAACGTAACATTATAATTGTGGGTTCGACAAAAATTGACCACACTGTACAATTGAATTCAACTTTATTCCACTACTACACTGCCAGTACAACACAAAAACTTCAGACTGATACTCAAATGTATATTGCCTTATTAGCTCACTTCTTACCGTACTTTCAACTAGTATTTCATCATTTGTCTGTTGGTAAAGCTTATATATCTCGATGGAAGTCTCGGAAGCCGATAGGAAGTGCATGAGAGTAAAGCGCGACCTCGGCCAAGTCATAATCGATTGACTAACACCAGCGGCGGCCGGCGTTATTTTTATCAGGGGCTAATTTATAATAAGTATATTTATTTGAAGAAATTTACTGAATTAAATAAGGAAAAACAATGAGACCTGTGAAGCTAAAGTATGAGACGAATCACAAGAAGCAAAAAAAATCTGCATCTTTTCAACACATATAATGATGTCAAACAAAAAATGAAGTATTAGAATTGATAATTTGAAATTCGGTGAAGAATTTTTCTCTCCAAAACTTTCATCTTGTATTACAGCTAGCTTATAATAAAATCAGTAGCCTCTCGGATTATAGATAATGTTGCTTTTATCTTTTACAGATCCTTGTATGATTTGGATTATGGCAGAGTAACTGAGAATGTGTTAGCCCATGAAGACGCAATCACCTGTATGTCCTTCGGTTACAAAAATAATCTTCTTGTTTCTGGTAGTGGGGATTGTACTGTGAAAATTTGGAAAGGTTTGAATAGCGATGGGGTGATTAAACCAATACAATGTCTCCATAAACAAATTGACCATAATTCCCAGGTCAACTGCTTGACTTTTAATGTGTAAGTTTGTTTAATAAGAATGTACTCATTTTGATATGCATATATTTGATATACAATAAGACCATAGTAAACAGTAAACTGTATTCAGAACCATCACACAGTGTAACAGATGACTTTTTAAGCAGGATCATACCTATTGCAGCCTTTAGTAGCTCCTGAAGTGGACTGTATTTCTTGCGATGAGAATTTTAATGTCCTTTTGCGTGATTTTCATAAATAGAGAGAGAGAGAGAGAGAGAGCAAATATTTAAAATGGATAAAAATTGAGAAATAAAACTTCCTGTTTTTTACCAGTAACTAACGATACTGCAGTTTCGTCTTATAAGGGACATTTTCAAACAAATATTCATTTGTAAAAGTATTCGTTTGAAAATGTATCTATTACTCATTTGGATTTGTATGTATGAGTGGTCTAAAAATGTAGATAAATATAGCATATTTTGTACTGCTTCAACAGATGAATAAATATATATTTTTTATTCCTATTATTCTTCTTTTTATTTTACTTCTTTTTATTCTCCTTCTCTGTATTCTTCTTTTTATTCTTCTTCTTTTTATTCTTCTTTTATGTATCATTAGTTCCTATTGGTTCGATGACTTGTGTCCAATTGTGGAATGCAATATTTTTACACCCTCTCTAATAATTAGATATAAGTATTTGTGAGCATTTGTTCTGTGTGAATATTAATCATTTAATTTTCCAGTGGACACTTTTAGGAAATAATTGTGAATATTTGTGTTATTTCAGTGAAAATGACCATTTGGCTGTTGGCACAGAAGATGGTGATGTTTACATATGGGAGATGAACAGTTTTACACTTTTTCCACACTTCTTCTTCTTTCTTCCTCCAGCCTCTACTTGAGATTGAGATGTTACAGATTACCAACTTCTTTACTTTTCAGGTTCTGTCAAAACCATAGACATATCGCCTCAGAGGGAATTTATTGTTAGTGGAAGTCAAGATCGTGTGATAAAAGTATGGAAACCAAAAATTAATGTTTAGATTAATGATTAAGTCTATGAAAATAGTATTGAAATTGACGAACATTTATGAATTGTTAAGTCTCACTTGGCAAATTTAGAACACCAATGATACACCCAGGCACTTCCCAAAGGTGAAAACAAACCAAAAAATTACCATAGTTACTCTGTGATGGACAGCGTGATAGTGTGATTAACTATAACTTTCTGCAACCGGATCAAACCATCATAACAGAGTTCGGTTGTGAGGATATCGAGGAAACGTACCGAAAATTGCGTCAGCAGCAGCCGGCACTCGTCAACACAAGAGGTCCGATCCTGTCTGTCTGTCTGTAGAGTAGGGAGAGTGAGTGTAGGCCCACAGTACTTAGGCCACATGTGACCCATTGTACATCTTCCCGAGGAGTTATCCTCCAAAGTCATCGTCCATCCTATCCTTTGCAGGAAGGTGGACAGGTCACTAGGAGATATCTCCTTTATAAACATTTTTAATGTCATCACACCAATAAAGAAGTAATTAAAAAAAATATATATATATCGGCAGATGTAGGCCAAGACTTATCAAACACGCACACTCTTATTGACGACAATTCCGGATACTCGCACAGGACATACCTGAGTTTCATCTTCCTGTTCACACATCTTGCATAGAGGTGTGTCTACTAGACCCATAATATGGAGGTGTTTCCTTAGTTGATAGTGGCCAGTCAGAAATCCTACTGTTAGGCGTAAGTTTTTCCTGATCATCACCAGATATTTCTTCGGCGCCAGCTTCCCAGGGTCGCCCAGGATGATCCTGGCAAGACTGCATCCTTTGATTCCATCCCATCTCTTTAGGGATTGAGCATGGGTGTGACGTTGATGTCCGATCCTGCACCACGACCACACCCGTCCGGGTTTACGACTCCAACGGACTTCTCTGTAAATTTAGTTCAGGAGCGAGTCTACAGAGGAGAAGGATGTCGGATTTACGCCTCCAACTGACCTCTCTGTAAATTTAGTGCGTTAGCGAGAGCTGCGGCGTACGCAAAATCTGTCTCAGGTGGGGTAACTAACCCCCTCTTAGCAGGTTAGCAAACGCTTGCGCTCAAGTGAGGTTTCACCAAAACCACAGGCTAAAAAGCCCTGCACGGCTGAATCTAAGGCATCGTCAGGTGTAGCTGACGTGCAAAAACCCTCATATGGGAAGGTTGTGGTGGGTATCAAGATGGGAATCTTGCAACTTGACTCTCCGACTACCTCATTAACAGAGCATATACTTTGTGCCTTCCCCGCTGGGGACCGAATCAGGTCTTGTACGGCAGAGCCGTACTCTTACCATCTGATCTGAAAGACCACTCACCATACAAACTAATCGGTTTCATTAAGAAGCTGGGTTTGTTTGGCCGAGTGAGAATAGGTTTGAGCCACAATAAACCCTTGCGGGTTACGGAGGGTCGAATAGACCCACTCCCTTTGGACCTAACCTAACACCCGTCCGCACGTTTCACAAATCACCGTCCGAAAATAAAACGAATTGAGCGTCGCAGTTCTGCCTCATCCACGATACTTCTCAGACCTCTCGTCAATCGACTTCCATCTTTTCAAGCACTTCGATAAGTTTCTCACCAGTATTACCTCCGCTGATCAGGCCCAGGCAAAAACCGACTTTGTCGACTTCTTCGAATCTCGAGCACACAAATTTTATGCTGACTGAACTAATCGACTTTTGTTAAGTTGGAAAAATGCACTGATTCAAATGGCGTTTATTTCGATTGAATTGAATAAATATTCACTGAGATATTACAGTTCAAAGTAGACTCACAATATTCTTGAAACACCTTAACATTTTTCAACTGGAATATTTGACAGCAAGTAGATACACTTTCATTATGTGTTTTAGTCGAACATATTGATGATGGAATACTCTTACATGCAAACTTGGGAGCAACTTGAAAAAAACTTGGCGAACAGCCTAGTGAGTAGCCAAATTACCTATGCTTTTTTTTAAAACTATTTCAATAACTGGTGTATGATATGAGTGGAAATAATGCCTATAGAATCACTTGAAACTGACTTTTTACTCTTGAGGTATGGTATAACTTACATTGGACAATAGTTACAAACGTAGTTGTAATACAACTTGGCTTTTGTGTGCTTGTAGTTCCCATAGTGATAACACTTAGCGATTCCACACCCAACTTCATGGCTGGCGGCCCAAACCATTTGAGTGTAGTGGCCAATAATAGTTATATTATTTGGTCGGCCGTAGGTAAACTGATTTTTTTCCAACCACCACGTCTGTACAGCAAAGAACCTGAAACAATTCTTATTATTGTGAGGATTGCGGTAAATGCTCAAACATGTTAATATTTGGAATTTTGTGTAAGTACCTGGCTCTTTGAACACAAGCGAAATTGTTGCCTTGGTCAGAAAAATCAGCAGCATTACATTTTGTACATCGCTTGGTTCTTTAATTAGTAGCACACTTGTATAATAATAACTCGTCGAAAGTCTCCAGAATACAACATAAAAAACTTAAATATCACTTTTTTGACCTGTTTAGTTTATATCACTCTTGCCCCCTCTGCTTCGGCTCGAATCAAACTAAACTCTCTTTGCAACGACCTTGTAATAAAGGAACTTAGGAACAGTTTTCGAAGTGTCTCATGAAAAAATGATTCATCAATGCCTCCAGTATTTTTTTGGTGCTTAGTTAATTTTGAACCCCTGTATGCATCGTCACTCCCGAACAGGCGATAGTCGGTTGGTTAATGAGTCCTACTCAGGAAACCACCGCTATTGAGCTGTGCTTGGAATCGCATGTTGAAAGGTAAGACTTCGTTAATCCTTAGCTTGAACAAATTTTGACTTCAGAGGGTTGCCGTTTATATGGAGATGATAGCTGGATAACGGTAAAATCCATTTTAATAATCCATCATCATCCCACATTATGGTCATCACGTATCATACAATCTTAAGACTTAGTAGGATGAAGCAGTGGCAAATTGAATTTTTGAATGGTGATATGATGGAAGATCCAGAGAAAATTCTAGGAATATCCTCTGAAGGGACCGATCAATTGTCCCCTGATCTTCAACGTGAAAATTAAGCCCCTAGACACAGTAACACGATATGATCTTGCAAATTGACAGAAAATAACAACTTCCCTAGCTAATACCACAACGGACATTGAATCATATACGACAGGCATTTGTAAGTTATCAAACAGAAAACATTCTTGCAGATGCTTCTTGTTTGTCCGGCAGCAGGAACTGTCTGAAACCAATCGGAAAGTCTTTCCTCCTATCATTGCAGGACATTACAACGTTTTTTTTTCTGAGATTGCAGCTATTTTAACTACAGTGAAGTAGTACCTACCTGTGGATACCTTTTGTGAACAAATTGACAAGCGAGGAAAAATCATGCCGGGTACCACAACTCTAACAGGAATCAAATCAGTCTATACGATAAGATTTGACGAACGTTTGCCAGAATATAACTACTTATACGGCTAATACCGGGACGGGCAATGAATTATATATCAATCCAGTTATCATCTACAGAACGGTTTCGGAGTATTACTCATTGCTTCACCACATAATCGAAACCTTTGTCTGAGATTGTAAACATTTCATCTGAAATGAACCAATAACAGAAAAGAACACAAGCCCCACGAGATAATCTTTGAGGCGTTATAAGAGGGGTGCCTGTGCGAAAGTAGGGACTCACGTTGGATTTGAATCGCTGGAGATTAAATTCATTTGGAAAAATGTTATCAGGAAAAGTTCATTCCACATAAACGCAGTTCTTAAACAGTGAAGTTCGATGTGTACTGAGTTGAATCTTGAAACGATGAGCAGCCACACTCCGTCGCGTATTTCTGATATGTACCGCTCTTGGTGGAGTCAAATATGCCAAGCCACTTGAACACCTTCCGTGAATGTATGTATAAAAGAGAAGTAAATCTCCAACCTTTATTCGATGTTCCAGATTATCAAAGTTGCAAGTGATGTTCGTGTCTCCAATCAGGCGGATGGTTCTTTTCTGGATGGAATCCAGCAGCTGGATGGAATCCAGATGGTTAGGGGCGAAACTCCATAGATGCAAACAATTCTCCAAAGAACGTCTGATCTGAACTTTATGAAGCGTCAAAAGTTGCTGAGGTGTGTAAAATTTCTCGGTTCGGAACAGTTGTTCCAAGCAATTGAGAAGCAGCTTTTGCAATTCCAGCAACATGATTGTGCCAAGACATATTGGTGACCATTTTAACCCCCAATAAACTTATTAAAGCAGAAAGCGGAATTGTCTGTTCTGACATCCGATTCGAAGACATTTATCTTTTTGGAGAAAACCGACGCCTGGGTTTCTGTGGCATTGAATTGAACCTGGTTATTTTCACCTCAATTCGAAATCACTTGTAGATTCTCATTAAGATATGCAACCTCCTGCAGCTGGTGAAGATGTGCATCCGCAGCCGATGTCCTAGAATCCAACCGGAATGTCGAGACAAGTGTGCTGTCGTCAGCAAAGCAATATATTGGATTCTTGGTATCTTCCAATAATTCGTTGGTATACATTAAAAAAAGGGTTAGAGAAAATATGTATCCCTGAGGAACACCAGCGTTGGTGGTAAAGTATTCGAGATATATCCATTGGCGGCCACTTGCAGGGAATGTTCTTTCAGGAAGCTGGAGAGACATGCACAAAAATGATGCTTCAAGCCATGGCGTCGAAGTTTGGCCAGCAAACCCTCATGTCACACATTAGAAATATCAAGCGCAACAGCTCTTGACTCTTCATGTTTCTCGATTGCGATATTCCAAAAATGGGTGATATACGATAGAAGGTCGCCTGTTGATCTTTGTTTCGGTCATATTTGTAATTCGAGCATCTTTGGTAACAGTAACTGTTGCTTCAAGATATAGTTTATATTGCAAAAGGCAGAAAAATATGATTTTTTACACAATAGCGGGATGAAATTCTAACTCAACAATTAGTCTACTGTACTCACCAGGGAACTTTATGAGATGCAATAAAAATATTCTGGCCACATGGTCCGTAAAAATCTATATGTCTTCCGGTAACATTGTCATGTGTTAGGAGTACACAAGCATCTGCCCATCTTTGCGCGGCAGCAGCTGCTCCTTTATGCCATTTCTAGAAAAACCGAATTGTTATACCTTCAAAGTCTAGATGCATGTTAAATTTCTATAGGCAGATATACAGAATTTGACAAACCATTCTCAGCATATTTCTAGCACTCGGTCGGACGTTGGATCTGAAAAAATTGTGGTAAAGAACAATGTTACGTTGAACTCTCGCTTGCACTGGATTGATAGAAATCATTGGTATCCGGTCTCCCATCAATTTAGGTCCTGAAAAATGTAAATACATTCGAATAAAATGGTGAAAATGAGCACTTTTAATGGACTTATTTCTATTTTGTTGTTTTTACTTTCTGATAACAGATAATAGTGTTAAAATTGAAATACTTGAGATATTTATGTGAATGGGAAATTGCACTTGTTGGTTGGTGATATTCTGTTGGGTTTTGATAAATTGCAAGTCAATGTGAGGAAGACTTGAGACTGACTTGTCGATTTAAGGTTATTTCATCTTCGTTATATAATGTATATCACGTAACTATTATTTTTGTATACAAATAACCTTATACGGTGGGAAATCAGCCAATAAGCAAGGTATGGTGAATACCACTGCCTAATGCCACCAGACTCGTAATGCTTGAATACAGCCAATATCTATTTAATTTCAAAGGTATTGGCGCCCAATGTGGGCCACAAACACCCGACTCTGAGGTTGAAATTCTCATGCCAGCAAAGTCTATATGTAGGACAGGCTACTATACACGAAGTAAATGAGTATGGACATCTTAGGAATCGACAGAAGATTCAAAGACACGAAAGTCAACGATAAATGAAGCTTTGAGTTTCAAACACACGAAAAAGCACACTGAACGCAAAAGTGAATTGAATCAAAACACCGATTACACGCATACTCCCAGGTCACATACAGTCCGGGACTAAAGATTGAGCAGTTTCATCAAATGATTTCTCATATGATTTCCGGAACGAATCTGGGGCCCTTCAACCGAATATAGGTTTAGGTTGAAACTATTTTGTTCAACTCCTTTCTTCTGTTACTAAAGACAATATTATAGTTGAGATGTTTTTCTGGCAGATGTTTTGCTAATGCTATTGTTCCTGATGCTAATGAGATGCTTTTCAGATGTTTTGCTGATGCTTCATTAAATTTTGAAGTTGGGTTGGAGAAAGTGAGGAACTTTCGTCTTGAAGCACACTTCGTTACCATGTGAATAGTAAAGAGAATTAAATAACTTACTCACTTCTTTGTGGATTCCAGTTTCCGTATTCTGATGTTGTATTTACTGCAACTAATATGACGAATGCGGTTGAGAATTTTCTCAAAGTCATGGTAATCCTGGAACGAAAATATTCAGCAGATGGGATCAGTTGATACAGATTTATAATACACATATTGTACTCTCGTAGTGAAATATTACTTTTTTAATGATTTCGTTATACAATGAAACATTTTCAGTATGGCAAAATATAAACGTTTTTGAAGTAGGTATTAAATGTAAAGATATTTGAGACGCCTCATAATATCAGTTCCTTTATGTCAACATTGATGTCATTTTATAAAATAAGAAGAAGATTAATCTTCCTCTTGAAGATGATTACTTGGTGATCGAAACACGTGTCGAGGTGTTGAAATAACGGTTTGGTGTTGGGATAAAACTCCAGTAATATTAATTTATTTCGAGGCATCCCATAATTTATTGAAATACCTACGCTGTCTGTCATATGTTTCAAAAAACAAATGCATCGTATAACTCAGTCACAATGATTCATAAATCACTTCTGATGGGCATAATTTTAATTGTAAAATGTTGTACAGCTGGTGAGATTACTACCAACAAAACGGTATATGGTGATTATCACGAGCGTACTCAGAAAATTTAAGCAGAATGTGAAAAGGCGAACAAATTATTTCAATGAGAAAAAAAATAAAGAACATATTTCAATGAGAAAAAAGTTTTAATACTTATTAAGTATCCCGCAATTATGTTATTATCTTTTAAATTTTTTTTTTCAAGAATGGAAAAAGTGTAAATCTCACTTTGAAGAGTTTTTCTTGAATATATCGAAAAGTGCATACGATTCAAGTTTTCCTTAATTCCAACTTTTTCATGGTCGTCTATACTATATAATGAACCTGCTGAACTCTTTTGTTTGTTTTTTTCAACGTATTAATCTTGGGTTGGGAATCACACTTTGAAAGGTAAGACCTCGTTACTTTTCAGCTCGCACAAGTTTCGACATTTGAGAGTTGTCGTTTGTAGGACCCAAAAACCCTGAGATTGAACCCTTACATGCTTGACGTTTGTTTATCATTTTAAACCTAAATTATGCAATTCTGAAGAGTTTTTGTCACAGTAGCTCACGTTATGGCCGAAAGTATTCAATTTTTTCCTTACGATTTCAGTTGTAGGAATCTCATTGTTTTGTAACAGTGGTACATTGTTTTTTTCAATGATTTTATTAGATGAAGATCTAAATGTTTTGGTAATCCTGTATCACATCGCGTCTTGCGTTCATAAGGTAGGTTTTTGACTATTTTACGTACAGTTGAGAAAGAAACTTCGGTCAAATATGATGTTGTTGTGATAGTTTGTTTCCCTCGAAACCAAACTTGAGATGTAGATTCTTATAAACATTGAAATATACTCTCTGTGTTTCAATATTCAATAAACCTAGTAATTATCATTGGCAATTGTATTTGATGATTCCCAGGTAATGAAAATTCAGAAAAAGGAAAAATCTGTTATAATTTATAAAAAATATCTTCATTAATTGGGTGTACTATGAAGTGGATTTCAAAAGTCTTATCTATCACCTAAAAGTTGACAATGAACTCATCTACGGTCTATAATGTAAACAAATGAGGATTCAAAATACAACAAAAAAAGTGAAAATCAGTACTACTCACTTTACACAAGTTGCAAATACTTCTACACTTCTACACTAGAACAGAAATTTTCTCTGAACTACACATGTATATGCCTACATCCAGCCTTCAAGATTGAATAAAATTATGGATTTCAGACACTGAAGTCATGAACTTGCTTCATTAAACTCAAGCCCCCCTAACTGTTTCATGAGATGGTTAATTAATCAACACTCGCTGATATTTGAATAAATAGAAAACTGATGTTCCGTATTCACTTTAACGATAGTTGATGAAATCAATTGATGGCTGAAATCTATCACGACAGTTGATGATACAAAAATATAACAATGAACTATTATCGTATTCAGTGGACTATTATGACCAGTGGCGGATCAAGATGCCTAAAAAAAACACCTACGACATTCCTTTCTAACGGAATAAGAACCGAAGTCCCTAACTTGTATTCATAAATTTTTGCCAACAACTTGAATTATCGATGGAAACACCTCCAGAAGGAGATGCGGAATGCTTCAGAAACTTGGTATGAGTTATACGAAGTTTTGTGAAAATCAATCAGTTTGGGTGAAGACAAGGAAGCGGTAGCAAACGCAATGAACTAGTGAAATAATTCTTCCATGTTATACTTTTGGGCACTTGAAAAAGTCATTGGTAGGTATATCAAGTGTACCACTTATTAAAAAAGTCAGAGACTAATCAGATATAAAAAAACTGCATTAATTCGAGTTGTCGTGTTTTTAATGCGCTTTGTGTAACTACAATACTTAATCGAAAACTATAAAAAATAATATTCGAAAGTATTGATTTCTGATAGCAAACAGAGAGAAATGAGGAATATTCGTCAATAATTCTTGTTTACAACCTTCAAAATGCAAATTAAAAACGTTTATATCAGAAATTAACCAGATCCAATTCTCTATCCATGGTCAGTGTAACAATCAACTTTTCTGCAGCACTGTCCCATTTGGCACTGCCTTTCTGTGGATCTACAGGATGAGGCAGAGGTAAGTCCAAATAAAAACTAGGTGAAACCAGTGTGAGATTTTTCTTGTAAATTCTCAAATCTATATTTTGATAACTTTCTCCTGGAAGAAGGATTGCAATTATCATATCTTCGCAACTTGCAGTCGTGGGGTTCTTGAATCCCATCTGAAAAACGAAACAATATTTTTTTACTTAACCTATGAATCAAATCACTGAAAAATATAGTGTCTTTTTCATAAACAATTAGCTTCTGAAATCCGATGTAACAAATGTATAAATCACAACATAATTTCTGAACCAATCCAAATGATACTATATTTTTGGCAACAGTTGTTTTGAATAGGACGGCTACTATCGTCCACACACGGATTATTGATAAATTATGTATTCAATTGTCGAGTTCATTCAAATATTGTATAGTGGCTACAAAAATAGATGAGAAAACTAGACGTCCGTATTTGAAAAAATAAAGATATTGATGAAATCTAATGAACGAAACGTCGCATTACAATTTTTTTTATATCAGATTATAACAAATATGAAGAGTATCTATTGAAAGTTCATGTGCCTTTTTTATATCATTCGAAATGGAGGTATAAACGAAATCCAACAATTATAGTTTTTGGCGGATATTTCAAAAACAATCACTGATATTGTCCAGCAGAGAAGATATTATTCTAGGTCTCCAAAATAGTAAAAATTTTCCAATGCTACCGACCTTGTAGATCTTAGCGTTTTTGAGATAGCAATAGTGGAATCAGCCAAAAAAACGGCCTGTATAGTAAATCTGAAAAAACTTTTCACATGAACCTTCATAGAAAAATTGTTATCTGATTGGTGTAGAATAATGTGAATTCATCTTGCACATTCAGTGATTTTTTACTTACCCTCAGAAACACATCAGACGCTGTAACATGCTGCTTATATGTTATATCCCAGTTCGGAGATTTTTTCCAATCCGACTCCGTTCCATGCTCTAACTCGTCATAGATAAAATCTTCTGCCTCTGGATCTAACACTTCCCTTCGTTTATTTTCATCTGTTGTTATTTTACTGTAAGGATTAACTTTCTTTGGACCCGATGATTCAGAATTTTCTGTAGCTTTTGCTGAAATGAATTTTATAAATGTATTCATTATTACCATTAAAAATGTTTTTTTGGCTTTGGCTTTCTTGGTTTTCTGTAGGCCCATAACTCATATCTATTTGGATTCGTTAATAATTCCTCAAAGTACACTACCTAATTGTATCTTGAAAGAAAGTGTTTGGCTTTCTACTACTCCATCTTGATACAAAAAAAGGATGAGGGAATCTTTCAAAGAAAGGAAGGAAGTAATCAATTTGGATGTGTAGATCATGCAAAGAAGTAACTTTCAGACATAAACTAGAAGAAAGTCCTCCTGAAACAGCTACTTTCATATAAACAAACTGAGTAGAGAAAAGTATCTTCTGTATAATTAGTGTTCATATAGAAGTATTTGTTTCGAAATAATTTTTTTCTTTCGTGTAATTCAATGTTTATATGAAAGAAGCTGTTTCAGGAGGACTTTCTTTCAGTTTATGACTGAAAGTTACTTCTTTGCATGATCTACACATCCATGTATAGAGTTACTTATTTTCAAATTGATTACTTCCTTCCTCTCTTTGGAAGATTCCCTCACTCCTTTTTTTTGTATCAAGATGGAGTGGTAGAAAGCCAAAAACTTTCTTTCCCAAAAATTATTCACTCCTAAAAATATAACCCCTTCAATTCAAATTATTAGTTATATGCCTCACCATTAACTGACTTTGTTGGTATTCTACTTGGTTTTTCGCCTTCGTCGTCAGAATCATCAGAATTATCATTGACAGTTGGGTTGAATAATTCAACCAGTTTCTGAATATCACCAAATTCCGACATTTCATCAAGAATGAATTGATTAAACTTGTATGCGTTGCTATAGAAACACACATTGCTGTGTCTGTCATCTAAGTCTTGCTTAAATATCGTAAATAGGATGTGAAGTGTATCAAAACTTGTAAGCAGCAAATACTGTATTCGAAAATATTGTGAAAACATGTTTTTTCACAGTTCTCCAAATGGACGTTTTCTTGAGCAGTTAAGTTCGAAGTGTACTAAGTTGAACATCGAAACGATGAGCAGCCACAGTCTGCCGCGTATTTCTGATATGTACCGCTCTTGGTGGAATCAAATGAGTCAAGTCACTTGAGCACTTCCTGTGAAAGTGTATATAGAAGAGAGACAAATTTCCAACCTTTCTTCGATGTTCCAAACTATCAAGGTTGCGAGTGATGTTCACGTCTTCAATCAGGTGAATGGCTCTTTTCTGGATGAAATCCAGCAGCTTCAGGGTTTGCTAAGGGACGGAGCTCCTTGCATGAAAACAATACTTCAAAGAAGGTCTTATCTGAGTTTTATAAAGCATCAAAAGTTGCTGAGGTGTATACAGTTTTCTGCTTCGGAATAAGAGTTCCAAGCTTTTGAGAAACCAAACTGATATTTTTGCACTCGACGCACGTTTCGCTAACAAGGTTAGCATCTTCAGAAGAAGCAAATTGATACTGAATCTAAAAACAAGGGTTAGCTGTTTATATTCCTGAAGTTTTTTTTTTTGGTTTGATGTGGACTTTGTTTGTTAAATGATGATTATCCTAATTGATTTTTCGGTAATTAACTAGTGGAGCCACTAGTGGAACCTACCGATGTGGACTTTGTTTGTTAAATGATGATTATCCTAATTGATTTATCGGTAATTAACTAGTGGAACCACTACTTTTTGCAGGTAGTGGTTCCACTAGTTAATTACCGAAAAATCAATTAGGATAACCATCATTTAACAAACACAGCTAACCGAGCCTTTATTCCTCAACTACATTTGATAGCACGTTTACTAACTATCTGGGCGACTAGGGGCCACAGGCAAGAAATGGTTATGACTGTACCAGGGACGCTTTGAACATAAAAGCACTGGTAATACATGCATTTTCCATTTGCCGGGAAATGATTATGAACACCCCTCGTAGTGCTCTTTTTTTTGGCGTTCCAATATCCAACTGCTTTTACTAAAAGCATACCTACCAATTTTTTTATATTTACAATGATAACTATGTGTTTTCTTTCCGGACTAAGCTAGTAAAATCCTATTTTCTCAACGAAAAAGAGTCAAGAAAGTCGGAATTTTTGAATTAAATTAAATTGATAGCGGATAGTATCTAGAGTCGAAACTCTGCAACATATCTGCTGTTTCAAACATCAGTTGAAGTCTACACCTTGTCTTAAAGTCTACACTATATTGAAGCAAGAGACAAGTGGATTCATATTGACCAATTAAGGCCTTTAACCTTCCTGTGTAAAGTTACGTTCTACAATCCTCTTTTCTGCATTCTCCAGTGAAAAAAAGATATTCCATAAAACATAAAATTTGGTTATCATCCCTTCAAGTTAGCAAAAACCTTGTCCGCTTGTTATGAAAACTGGTGACTAATACGTTTTGATTGCCGCAGATTTTCATCGCAGATTTTTGTCATTGACCTCAGGATCAAATCATCATCGCCACAATTAACTTTGTGTGATTCATTTTCTTTTATTAACGGAGCGATGAAATGATAATACTCGGTCAGTGTAATGAAACATGTAATTGAAACAAAAGAGTTTCTTTTGATTAACAATTCCTAGTAGTGAAGTATGCAATTTTTCTTGATAAATTGAAGATAGAATTGTGATTATGTCGGGTATATAAATATCAGAGTAAGAATGAATTTCTAGTAGTTTGAGGAGATCGAATCGTAAAGTTGTAGTTTAGAAATTACTATGAATCTTCATCAAGTAACGGCCGAATCAATCAGAAAAAAACACAGTAAAGATTTGGCAGACGAAAACTACTTGCCTTTAAAAATAGTCGTTTTCCGTTCGGAAATTAATACCTACCTAAAATGTGAGGGTCAACAAAAAACTATTTTGCAATCTGCCTAGACTGTTCATGCCAAAACCAATGAGTATTGCATTAATCACATCGGAAGGAGATTACACACAACTCGCCTTTGTAGTTAACTTCTGTTTTTCCTATTTTGAGCGTGCTTCCACCGAATATCAGTCGAACCATCGAGAGAAGAATAAGAAGTAGCCAAGCGTGATGTCATGCCGTCTTTGGTCGCACTCTACAGAATCTCAATTACTATAGTTGGTTGTTTAACAACAAGTTCAGTACGACGTATACTGTTAAATCGTCACTTCTTTGAACACTTCGGATTCTTGAAAATAAATGTAATCGGTTTTAAATTTGTTTGTCGTTGAGGTTTTTGGTGTATGAGAGTGCTTTGATGAATTGTGGGATAAAGTGAAATTGCTATCAGTCATGTTGCTTGCAATGTCAGCACCCAGAAAACATCAAAGACTAAGTGATAAGGTAGTGCGATTTCCTCAAATCCCAGAGTGCGATGTGGGAGGCGATACAATAGATTTAGATTCTCTCGAGGAATATCCAAGTTCCCATAATGTGAGTTGATAGGACAATATTTGTCAACTGGTAGATCTAGAAGTTGCTATTCTGTTCATAAAGTCGAACTCCCAATGTTATTTGATAATAAAAATACATTAATGTTTCTCAAATAACTTCAATCTTGAGAAACAATGAATATGCTCAAAAAAATATCATCTTAACACACGTTTCATTAATAACTTGCGTCAACATTGCATGTGAAATAGAACAACATTCTGCTAAATGAAACTGCATTGATTCAAATTCAGTACACCGAAGATGAATATTGAAATAAGTCCTATAACATTTTTTTTTGTATAAAGATGGAGAGGTGAAAAGCTAAAACTTTTCCTTTCCAAGACCTATAACGTGTAATAGATACAAAACTCAAAGAGACATATTTTCATACTGTATTGAACATTTTGTTGGCATTATGGCTGATCAGGAAGACACTCCAATTCCACTACGAATTTTCTTTGAATGACGACTTGTTTATTTTGTAGAAATTCATGTTCACTGAACACTATAAAAACACACTCTTGTCTATTTTTCACGATAGTTTTATATTTGTTGACTAGTTTCGGTCATTACACCATTTTCGAAACTCTTTTACGAATACTCTTTTCAGGAATAATTTTTATTCGAAGGAAGAATACATCAAATTTCATAGAAAAAAATAATCTAACATAATCAATGTTATGGTCGTATCGAAAATAATCATTTACACCCCGTAAAATTTCCGTCTGGGCAAAAATTTTGCCTTCTTTGATACAGGCGAATCGTGAAGGTCGAAGTTTCTTTGAAATCACTACTGTTACGTGCAATTAATCCGTACAAATGACAGGAGGAGGTTACAACATTATCGATATGCCTATTAAATGATAGTGCAGTGTCAAATGTGACGCCAAGATTAGTAAATGTTTCTGGCCTCACCAGGGAAACGTTTCCTATTGAATAATCAAAGATGAAGATATTCGTTTTCAAACTGTAGGACATGACCTTACATTTATTCGGGTTCAGTGACAAGTTATTTCGATAACACCATTCTACAACCCGTCCTGCGTTTGCTGAGAGGTTCACACAATCATCTATGTTCTCAACGAGGCAGTATAGTTTTAGACCATCGGCATATAAAAGGAAATACACATCTATAACATCTGCAATGTCATTAATGAATATATTGAAGAGCAACGGTCCCAGATTTGAACCTTGTGGAACACCGGAAGAAACACTACCATGAAACCATTGAGCTGAACATATTGTTTTCAATCCCGTAGGTAGGTCTGAAAGAGTACTATTAAGGATGGAGATAATCCAAAGGCTACATTTCAGCGCAGTATTGCGGTAATTAATAATAATAATAAGGGTTTCATTGTTAGTCTCTTACGGACCGAATTATCAAAAAACAATCAGAAAAATGTTTTATGTTGGAAATGTGTAAATATGATCATAATAATTATATAGTCGTGACGATTTGCAAAACCTTCATTTGGTTTTTGTTTTCTGGTTAAGTAGTACATATGAAACAATGGTTAACTACGGAACAAATATTTATTTATGCATTTCCATGAAACAATTCCTATTTTTGTTAAAACACAAAAATGTATTACATTTCATGCAATATATAGAGGTGATATTTTTGCAGTATGGCAATTTGTATATTTGGCGATCTTCTTTGCATAAGGGAAAGTGCTTAACACCATCTCTCCGGATCTCTGGTAGTGGAATTGGTTTTGTGGGTCCTTTCTTTCTCTTCATTTCAAAATTTTGCTGAATTCTGTCTGCAGATGGCCTACCTCTTTTTAGGAACACAGTCTTAAACAGTCTTAATTTCTTCTGCATAGAACTTCAGCAATTTCTGATCTAAATGCTAACAAGTCTTTTATCTCATTCCTACTCGATAAATGTGCTGAACAGTCTATACAATAACCTAGCTGAAAGGGTAAGGGAGCTGGACTCCAACCTGATTGAACTGAAGAATACTTTCCACATACAATAACCAACTGTTTACAATAGAAATGCCAAGAAAATGAAAGATAAAGCGTTATTAGTAATTTTTAGATCGGATTCCAATTCGAGAGTCGATCCAAGTTATCTATGTCTATCTTATTATTGTTATTCATGTGTAGGGAAGACTTTATCTGTGAAAATCTATTTCGACTCATCACATCTGCAATTTGTGAAATTCTAGTGGACTGTGACCAGTACATTTTGGTTCTGAGTAAATTATAAATAGACATATAAAATAAACATAAAAAACCCAAGCTCTCGTTGAACATGAAAAAGAATATGGACACATTTTTGATTTTGATCATCCAACTATTCTAGATGTTCAACCATATTTATGCAAAAGACTTCTGAGCGAAATGATACACATCCTCAAATGCGATAGTGTTAAAACTAAAAGAGATGTCGATGACCTTAATACTGCATATTTGCATATTTCAAATTGATACGTAAAATACCTAAATAATTTACACTTTTTTCATTCTTTTTCTATCTGCCATTGATTAAAAAATAGACACCACAGAATCACAGACGAAGCCTTTCGTTTGTTTCATGTCGTTTTGTGTTGTCTCGGAAATTTGTTGTTGCAATGTTTTTATTTTTATTTTTTAAATATGTATCTAATATGTCTAATGGTTTTTAAAGTAGTAATATTACCAGTGTCACTGTTTTTCGAGTTGGAAAGCCGTGGATTTTTGGAATTTCTTCCTGACGTTTCGCTGGCGCGAGTAGCTAGCTTCTTCAGAGGTTTAACCATCATGGCTTGCTGTCCGATGACTAACTTTTAGGCTTCGTAAAGCATATTTATGCCTCATGTTTTTTTAAAGTTTTCAAGAAAAAATGATACTGCTACCCAACCAACCCCTTTTTCAGATAATATATACTGTATGAGTTTGTCAAATTCATAGAAAATTCTGAACTTGTTCATAAACAACGTGATTTGGAAAAGTATTTTAGGAATTTGAGTAATATTTTTGAAGTGAGTTGAACAAAATTTGAACACAAAACAATATTTCATTCTGAGATGTATTTGACAGCAGATGTTTTATCATTTTGTCTTTGAGCTTTTCAATTGTGACAGATAGAAATCTGATTGTACGCTTCTGTTAAAAAATGAGGTGAATTTTTTGTTCTCTCAGATCATTTGCAAAAAATGTTAGTTTCAATCAAGAAAGTTCTTTTTCTGTCATTTTTCCTTCACTCTGATTTTGCTTTTACTGTCAGGTAACATTGGCAATTTCTATTGTAACCGATAGATCAAGTTTCGGTCTGCTTAGATAATTCCTACCTGAAATAAATTTCCCATTCCGCTTCATAAATATTCACAAAGGAACATTCTGAGTTTGCATGTGATCGGTGTTCATCTATGGCGTTTTATATAATTTTGATTCCATTATTTCAGGAAGCAGAAAGAGAAATCGTGATCGAACCAGATAACAACACAAATCTTCAATCAGTGAAACATCTGAACTTAAACGGTTTATGCAATAGAAGACAAGAAACCGGTGTGTGTTACAACGAAGAAATCGTTCTTACAGGGGAATCCATAGAGACCCTCAATGAGCTTCAGGTACTCAGTTTACGCTCAAATGGTATTCAGAATTTCCCGTGCAGCATCCTTCAGCTTGTAACGTTGGTAACATTGGATTTATCGGACAATAATTTGCTGACTTTACCACCGGAGATAAATCAACTGAGAAAGTGAGTAGACTTGTTTATAGGGCTTTCTAACAGGACTTCCGAACTTTGAAATTGCTTCATCAAAATGGATGTTCTGTTCGGGCAACGTACCGCGCGCTTCGCCCAATTCACGGTCGCCATAATCGTCCTGCCGAGAGGACTATTCGCAAATTTGGTGGATACATTTGAGTCCACAGGTTCAGAAAACGATTGACCAACACTTATACGTTGACGAAACGCAAGATCTGCTGGAAACTGTCTGCCACTGTCTGTGAGAATGTGCAGGAGACTTCGGAGGTCTTTCAAACTCCGTTTTATTTGAATTTGAAGATAGGAAGTGCTCAATTAAAGACGCTATACAAATAATCAGAAACGTATTTGAAATTTTTTGCGAGGTTTGCAAAACATTATGAACTTACAACTAGTGTTGCGTACTATTACTTTGAATACTATCAGCTACAATGGTTAGGGTGTAATTTACTATTGACTTCGTTAAGAAGCTGGGTTCATTTGATGTGAATAGGTGTGGGCCACAATAAACCTTTGCGGGTTGCAGTGAAGGCTCGAAGAGACCCACTCCCCTCACTTTTGACCCAACCCAACCTAACTATTGACTTGAAAAAGGCTTGTTTGAAGGTGGTTGACAATGTTTCACAATTCTTTATTTTTTCTTTGTTGCTTGGTGTGTTATTTCTCTGTAATCGTAGATTTTTGTTTGATAAAATTGTTATTTTTCGGTTAATCTTTAAATTATTTTTTTTACAGATTCTTTCAGGGATTTCAAATCAATTTATATTATATTAAACAATGGAAGTCCGAATTCTTGAAAAAGACTGATGTTACGAGGTTGTTAACTATGAAAAAAATCAACTTTCACTCCATTTACTATTTTGGCGATCAGATATAGACGAAAATCATGTGCCCGTTCCCAGATATTGAGGTATTGAGTCTGTTTTGGGTCGCTTTCAATTTTGAAATCGTTTTTCACTGTTGCCGTTTTGTAACCATAACTTACAAAAATTATCAAACTAGATGAGTTCATACCTACTCGGAATGATAATTCAGAACATTGAATTCCTCCGAACAATCTTCCCATTGAGGACTTGTTTCTTTCCTATATATGATTTCACGAAATATATTTGATTCACTTAACCCTCTGGATTTCGCCGAGTATTGTATATGGCCTATCGACTCCAAGTTCAACTCAATACACCTCGAACAATACTTTTTGAGAACTCTTTTATTTGGAATTGCTTTGTAGTGAAAGATAGAGAACGAATCTTCTTTGGTGGTCTATCTTTGGTCGTTGTATATCCCTGTTACTCGTGGATTAATTTTTCTGTCGATGTCATAGATGGCGTATTCGTTAACTTTTTGAGTTATGAACTGTGAAGGTCATATCAAGGATATGCTTGGAATTTTCAATTATTCAATGTGGGATCAGTACACATCCTTCTTCCAAGCAGAACTGTTTATAGTCCTAATATCAATTTGACATATCAAGGAAATGAGTGGATCAATATACTTATTGATAGTCAGGGCTGTACTCAGGACATTGGTGAATTCAGAAAACTGAATAGATTGACTGTATACTGGATGAAAGGACACACAGGAATGGGTTATGATCCTGCTGTAGGGGTATCAAATGCGTCAATAGGAAAATATATATTGGAAAAGTAATCTGTGAACACACGGAATAATGGTTAGGTTAGGTTAGGTCCAGGGCGAGTGGGCCTATTCGACCCTTCACCGCAACCCGTAAGGGTTTATGTGGCTCACACCTATTCACACTCGACCAAATAAACCCAGCTTCTCAACGAAGCCGATTTGTTTGTATGGTGAGTAGTCTTTCAGGTCAGCTGGTAAGAGGCTCTGTCGAACTCTAAAAACCTGATTCAGCCTCCAGCGGGGCAGGCACAAAGTATATGCTGTACTGTTTCATCTTCTTCCAAACAGAGGCGACACACACTGCCTTCCGACAGTCCGAGTCTCTGCATCTGATGATTCAAATGACAGTGACCTATAAGAAGTAGTTCATCTCTACTGTAGTCCAACAGAAGTTTATAAATCTTCTTGCCATTCAGATGTTCAATCTTTGTTTGGTAAAGCCTAAAGCGATGCCAATGATAGGTTCTGGTCCGATGAAGCTGCTTGCAGCACCCTCCTTTGCAAGAGAGTCAGCAGCCTCATTGATATCCAGGTCAGTATGGCCAGGAATCCAGACCAGAGACAATTGATTAAGTCTTCCTATCGAGGAGAGTCGTTTTTGGCAATTTGCTACCAATTCAGAAAAAAGGAACAATCTGATGAAAGAACCGACGAACAAAACTGCAGACAATAACTGCAGACAATAACTGCAGACAATGTAGCAAAGGGACAAAGCTAGTTCGACAAGTTTCATGCGAATGTATCAAATATCATAGTACAGGATCCCGCCGCAAAATATGTATGTAAAAATCTGAGTTTGGTTAACTACGCTATAGACGTAGTGATTGTGCAGCGGGCAACTCCGGTTTGATAAGGATCGAGAAAATAATGAAGATTCGTAGATTCATATCAAATTCCCTGATTATTTACGTCTGAAGAAAGTGAAACCGAGTCCTTGAAGACACAAAAAACACAGATAACAATGAAGAAAGGATATGGATGCCGAGATGATTCATTACCCTCTGAGAAGCCGAAAACAATGAATCTTCTCTTGGTACTACAAACATAGAAATCTGCAGTGAACGAACTTCCGTTGTTTCTTTCACGGTTTCTTGATCTTCCGAAACGCGCATATGATTAAAACTGCTAAGTTGATCGTAAGCTCGTGCCTCCAGTAGCACACTTTTGGGTAAAGAACGGGTTCAAATGGATCAGCGGGTAATCACAGGGGTTTTTAAACATTCATCATGAAATATTAATTGCTGATAGTTATGTAATTATTGTCACAACATTTCTATGACCTGATGTTTATTAAACTTATTTGATTGAACATATATATACAATTATATATGGTCTTTTAGTAAGGGCTTTCTATATTCAAACTCTCACACACAGAGTGTGTGAAATTTTTTATTCGTTTGAAAGTCCTAGTCATGCCTTTATGTATGGAATATAACATCATTCAGATGCCCATTGTGTATAGAATATAACATCATTCGAATGTGAGTCACGGCTTCTTTGGGTGGAGCACATCTGAAACGTACAATTTTTCATGATTACATGGCAATTTTTTTCAAGAACAAAACACAAGCACTATAGAAAAATCCTTAAGGCACTCTAAGAGCGGTGTCTGTGCGAAAGTAGAGATTCACGTTGGATTTGAATATCTGGAGTTCTCAAAATGAAAGAGTTCTTAAACATTGCAGGTCGAGGTGTACTGAGTTGAACCTCAAAACGGTGAGCAGTCACAGTTCGTCGCGTATTTCTGATATGTACCGCTCTTGGTGGAATCGAATGTGCCAAGTCACTTGAACACCTCACGTGAAAGTATCTATGAAAGAGTGACAAATCTGTAACCTTTCTTCGATGTTCCGGAATATTATCGTTACAAGTGATGTTCGTATCTCCAACCAGGCGTATGGCTCTTTTCTGGATGGAATCCAGCAGCTTCAGGGTATGCTTAGGGGTGGAGCTCCATACATGTGAACAAAACTCCAAAGAAGGTCTGATCTCAGCTTTATAAAGCATCAAAAGTTGTTGGGTTGTGTACAGTTTTCTGGTTCGGAACGGTGTTATAAGTTTTTGGGGAGCAGCCTTCGTAATTCCAGCGACTTGCTCATGGTATAAAATATTTTTTTCTAAATATTTATGTTGCTGATATATCTATTGAGAGGTGAATAATTTATTTCTAGAAAAGTCGATAATCTTTTCCAATTTTCGTTACGCCAATGGCCATGAACGTGATGAACAACTCAACCATAACTTTAAAGTTTGGCTCGAGCTAAAATCCCACAAATCCTCGAACCCTCCAGCAGTTGAATCTCAGAAAAAAAGTCGTTTTAATATCTAACGCCGACGAAGAAAATTAATCAATAGTCGGTTGTGCAGAGGAAATGTTGAAGATATTTCGTCCTTGCCGGTGTCCTGTTTGTGCATCCGCCGCGGCTGAACACCATTTTAACTTTCGTTTTTCCATTTTTGCAGTCTGCAAGAACTAGTGTTGGATCAGAATTTGTTGAGTGTCTTACCCGCGACTCTATGGGACCTGAAGTTTTTGAAAATTCTGAGGCTAGCGAACAACAGATTGGCAGTACCGCCGGATAAAGTACTAGATATGCGGACTCTTGTGCTCACGGTGAGTTTTGTTTTCATTGATTGAATTCTGAAAGAAATACTACCTGTAAATCCGATTTTTGGACTCAAATTCAACGAATATATGCAGCATGAGTGCCTCCGCAATAGTAATATTCAGATAATACAGCAGGACCGGATTTAGTGAAGGGCAGGCGGGGCTATTGCCCCGGGACCTCCACAGGAGAGGGGTCCCCACAAGATAAAAAAATACCAAAATTTTGACGGGTCAGCAACTTGTTTTTTTGATTTGATCAAGCATTTCAATGGCAATACTTTTTTTAATGTGTAATTTGTAATTTGTAGCCATGAGTTGAAGAGAAATAGAATAAGTAAAAAAAACAAAAAAAACGTTTGACTCTGTGGGTCATCCTTACAACTTCTCCGGGCTCAAAATTTTAAAAATTATATTTGACGACATTACTTGAATAGTATTTTTTGAGCAACACTATCAATTGACGCATCAATTTTTGCCCGCTTTCCCTTTTTTAGACAATTTTTAATTCCCCTTCTCTTATACATATGTTAGAGTAATTAATTTTGAAGAACAATCCTTTTTTATAGCAAAAACATTTGGGGACTCCACTTCTTCATTTCCCAACGGCCTGCAACTTCCAAATCCGGCCCTGTAATACAGGGTTGGTTGAATGGGGAAAGATTTGCCTACCAATGGTTAATTTGAAAAATATTGAGAAACCCGAAATATTTTATAGACTCTTCAAAAAATGTGATGTCCATTACGTTATTTGTCCTGTGTACCACTTTTTCAAATTGTAAAAATGTAGGAAGGTATTTTTCAACCTGAAATTTCTCAATGAACTCGTATTTTGAACAAATTTTTATATAATCGGAAACTCAAGATACTTCTGAAAATCTGTTTCTTGTTCAGTGAAAATTACATATGCAAAAACCATCTGATGCAGATCAATAAAATCTCAATACAATTTGGATTTGAACCCATCAAAATCTCAGGAGACACCTAAACAATAATTTTTTGCTTTCGTTTCACATTTATCTTATGTAACGATCAGTTTTGAGCGTATTCAATTCCATACGCAAAAATAAAAGATAGAATTTATCTGGTTGAAGCTGGGATGATTCTGCAAGCGTGTTAGGAATCACACGTTAAAAGGTAAAACCTCGTTAGTCCTTAGCTCGCACAAGTTTCTCAACTTCTGAGAGTTGTCGTCCGTATGGGGGTGACCGCTGATTAACGGAAAAACAGATTTTAAACAGAAATAAATAGTTATTTTCTACAAGAGAAAAGTGACAGATAAACAATATGTACATAAATAAACCAAAGGTTCATGCGAACCTTTATACAGAAAGGAGACATTTGCAGAAGAACGAGAAGCTAACTCTAAATGCAAACAAGTATTTACTTATGCGAATTCACATGAATCCTGTAATTTCAGGAATGTCTCACTAAGTCAAATTCTCACTACGTCGAAATCTCACTACGTCGATATCGTACTACGTCAAATTCCCACTACGTCGACTTCTTACTACGCAGAATTTTCGACATGTAAAATTAATTTGATTTTCGACCACCTTCGTATTTTGGTGACGTCATAGGAAGGTATGTCATTCGACGTTATGAGATTATGACGTAGTGAGAATTTGACGAAGTGATACCCCTTGCTCTAGGTAAATCATTCTTCTCACGATAAATTCCCACTACATTGGGATCTCACTACGTCGAATTCCTATTACGTTGAATTCCCATCACGTCGAATTCCCGTCATGTAAAATTCGATGTAGTGAGAATTCGACGTAGTGAGAATTAGACGTAGTGATACGCACCTGGGATTTCAATACGAAATATTGCCGGTGAGAGTGATTTGTCATATGAAAGAGTTAAGAAACTTTTGATGAAATGAATTCTTCAGAAGCTTACGATTACCAACAGTGGTATATTCATTAGCGCAGAAATAAACTTCATTGGGCCATTCAGAACTTATATGGGAAGTAGGAAACATGCCTGCAAAAAGATTTTCAATGAAAATTGAGTTCGGTTTTTCGAACACTTAAATTTTATACTCGTTTTTCATTGGAAACATGTTGGATAATTCACAACAAGTTTGAATCTAGAGTGGGAATGGTTTCAACAAAATAAGTAGTGTTGACTAACTTCTCAAAAGAAACTTTTTGATATCGAAGCGTGTAAATTTGGAACAACAGCTATATCTCAGTTTTTCTTTGAAACATACCACAATAAACACTAAGCAATTTTCAAGTTAGCTAACAAACGATTGTTGATAATTTCAACATCGAGAACATCGTTATTAATTTTTTCTCTGTTACGCAACGGCAGCAAAATTGTTATTATGTATGTACATCGAGCAAAAATACATGTGGAGCACTGTTACTCACTAATCCATGAACAAATTCTGTTGAAGTTTACAACTAATTATTTGGTGCAGACGGTAAAGTGCAGTGGCGTATCAAAACGTATCAGATAGTAAGGGCTAATAATAGTCATTCTTTGCATCAGAATTTAATGGGGGCATTAATTGAAGACCAAGAAGCAGACTTTAACTCATTCACATTTTGGTTTTCTACTGCTCCATCATCGAACAAAAAATATCAAAAACTTCCGAAGAAAGAGAGAAATATATTAATCCCAATAAAAACTATGTAGCAAAATGTGCAGATTAGGTACCCATTGATTTGGATTTGTTTATTTTTCATATTGTAGAAGGTTAAATATCTAAAAAACAATAGAAAAAATTGACACCTTCACAAATTATGTATTTCACAGCAACTAACTATTTCCAAAACAGTTGCACAACAGAGAATTTACTGTTATATAATTTATGGCATAAGAATTTACAACCTGAAATAAGTTTGAGACTGTTATATTTTTTTAACCTGATGATGCTATTTTCTAGGAGCCAGATGGAAAAACTGAAGACTCGAGAGGTCTAACAACATTGAATCTGAGAGGAAACAAGTTGAAAGGACATATCATCTTGGGAAATTATGGCGTGAGTAATATTAAAATTTCAGTTGAAATCTTCTTAACATTCATTTATTTATTTATTTATAATTCAAACAAGCTATTACAGCCTAATTACATGGATAANGTTGGTCGGCGAAGTTTTGGATTAGAGTTCCTTTGATGCTGTTCCAGTCACTACATCCATAAACTGAGATGACGTCTTTGGCTCTGCCTCGTAGCTTGTTGAGTAGTCCTTGTATCAATATATGGTTCTGAAAACAACCGGGGTCTTCAGTATTCCAATATTCGTTCAGAATCATTGTTGATACGTTGATGAACTGGTATAATTCATTTGGGCTTCCATCGTATTCGGGTACAATCCAAAAATTCTTCAGGTCGAATTGTTTTGCCATGTTGATGGGATTTAAAGGTTGGTCAATTGTTTGAGGAATAATGGATGGGCGAGAATTGATACTTGAAGGTGAATTTGGTAAAACTAAGGTAGGGGGACGTAAAATAGTATTTGCAATTGATGAAGTTGAGTTAATTTGTGCTTACAGGATGACGAAGATGGCTCGTTGCATATTCTGTCACCAAAAACTTATTTCTATGTAGATATTCCTTGATGGACGATAGTAAAGAGGTATTCTTGTCTACGGCCGGAATTCTTCCTGGAGTACTTGCTTCTCGGTGGAACTTAGTTCGGGAGAATAGTGGATAAACGTTTGAGAACGACGAGGATCTTCTAAGGACTCTTTCACTATCCTATCGACTGCGCCAATTATATTTCTCGTTCACACAAAAGGGTTTTTAAAAACTTTTTATTTGAACAGAATAACAACTAATAACTATGAAATATACGTACTGGCTATTACAAATCAATTGCACCTATTTATATATAAATTATGGCCGACTTTGCAGATATCAGCAAAATAATTGATGTCGTTTTCGGGTCATCGAACAATATCCTGCTGATGTAAGAGGTTATCGAACTGTAACTTGCTTGACGATGGATGATTTCATGATTTTCCTCCATTAATTCGTCTGTCTCCTGTTCATCTGTCTGAGTCTTATTAAAAAAAAATAGGAAATAGTCTGCAAACTTAAAAAAAAAACAAATTATCGAAACCTCATCATTGGTTTTTTCAACAATAATCGAGTCTTTCATTCCAATGGCTTCTTAATTATATCTCTTTCTTTTGAAAAGGTAAAAAATATTCATAAGTTGCACCATCTATACCATAAACAGGATTGAAAAGTTTGATACTGTCTCATCCACCAGTAGGCCTCAGACACTTGGATATATCCTATAATGACCTGGAAAGTCTTCCTGACTGGTTGTCAAGCTGTAAAGAACTGGGATCCCTCTTCGCCAGCAACAACTCCCTACTATCATTACCTGATCATTTATTCTGCAATGAAATGCCATTGCTACACACCCTTCAATTGGCCTACAATCAGTTACAGTACCTCCCCATTCTACAGAAAAAGTTACCTGTTCAAGAATTTTTTTTACAAAATAATAGTTTGTCCAGTATCCCAGAAGACTTTTTCAAATATGTTCCAGATATCAGAGTACTGAATCTTTCGAACAACCGACTATGTGATCTACCGAAACCGTTCGAGGTGCTACAGCTGGAAAAACTTTTTCTAACAGCCAACTGCCTGAATGATAAGTCTATGGAGCGATTGGCTCCGTATCTGAAGAGCCTGAGAATTCTACATGCAGCATATAATAATTTGACCACTCTACCGGAAAACTGTGCTCTCTTCTGGTCGGAATTAGAGGAACTGGTAGTTTCTGGTAACAAACTATTGCGTCTTCCTGAGAACATCGATCACATGAAGCACCTCTCAGTACTGAGAGTCCATTCCAACTTACTGCAATCGATACCAAAGTTGTCTACACTCACATCGTTGAGGGTATTAGACTTAGCCCACAACCAGTTAGATCGCGTTGATCTTAACTCTCTCATACCCCCCAATTTGAAATTCCTAGACTTGTCCTGCAATATAAAACTTCATGTAGATTCGCAGCAATTCAACTTGTATAGAACACAACGACCCATGAGCCTGGTTGACGTTTCAGGAAAGAACAGAACCACTCTGCCCTTGTCGCCTTCTCTATTCTGCGATACTGACTTGACGGAAAATTCTTGGGCAGTGGGATTTTCCGAAACAGCCGGTTGCAAACAGAGACTGTACGTTACACAAATTCGTTTGCCAAGTTTCTGCAACACTGAAGCTCTGCTGGGTATGTTCGACGGCGAAGCCAACAACGAACTACCATTTGGGATGGATAAAGCTGTCCCAAGGATACTCTTGGAAGAAAGAACTGTTAAAGAAACCTCACACGAATACATGAAGTACACTATGCTATCCGCTCATAGGGAACTGAAAGAGAAAGGGCAGAAGCAAGGGCTGAATGCAATCCTGGTACATGTTCTCAAATCGAAACATACGGGAGAATATTCGTTCTGCGGAAACGTGAAGAAATACGTCATGAAAATCGCTAGTGTTGGAGATATTAGAGTGGTACTCGGAAGGGCTTCTGGCCCGGTTCGTATCCTGCCTCTGAAGCTCAGGAAACAAATCAGAACAAATCCCCAAATTCATTCGAACGTACCTGACCCAGATATCTCGGAACTGTATTTGGAGGAACAGGACGAGTACCTCGTTATCGCTAATAAAAACTTGTGGGAGGTTATAAGCCCGGAAAGCGGCATCCGAGAAGTGGCGCTTCAACGGAACGTCATTTTGGCAGCCAAACGACTACAAGATTTGGCTCAGAGCTATGGAGCCGAGGAAAACTTGAGCATAATAGTCGTGAAATTCAACTTGCTGGGAAACGACGTTGATTTGCTGATGAGAGAACTGCGACAAACATTCAGAAAGAACAAGTATCAAAGTGAGAGTGCCACTTGTCAGCCGGGCTGCTGCTGTGAAGCCCTCAACAAGGAGTGTTTGAATTGTTTGGAGCAAATCCCTATACCCCCGCCGATGATGATGTGTGACGACAGATCATCACCGAGCGGCCAGAGTGAGAATGCTTGCAGTGATTGCAACTCATCAGCGAAGGTTTATATAAACCAACTCAACAAACACAACGAAAACAGATCAGTTCGAAGTGTTACTCCTTCTATATTCGAGTGTGCGGAAGTGAAAACTAGTCCTGAGAGAAGGAGTTATAGAGGGGTTGCCAAAGCCTTACGTCAAAGAAGGGAGGAGGAGAAGAACAGAGAGGATTCAGACTCGGCACTGTCTGAGGAACAGTTCAAATGCTGGGAGTACATGCTGGAGCAGAATACTCAGCTACTTTTTGACAAAGAACTCGACACCCTGAATAAAAACATGAGGAAGAAGCCATTCTCGATTAAAACTCCCTCGTTATCGAGGAGTTCCCCTCAATTAGCCGAAACTAATTCTAATCCTCCGTCTACGTTTTTATCCAAACAGTTCGGCAGTGCTAGGTCCTTCAATCCTTTACTATCAAAGTCAAATTCGCGATTTGGTTTAGATAAAAAGCAATTACTGGGCGGACCTAACGCTGCGTATTTTGGAAGCTTGCAAAGGCTTATGCCTTATAATTTGGAATACGATTTTGCTGTCATGCACGAAAGGGGATTAGCAGACTCCCTTGATTTGGACAGGATGCAACAGTACTGGGGAGTTACTACAACAGAGCTGTGAACTTAATTCTCGTTTTTCATGTTAGAATTTTTCAGAAACAAGCCTTTCGATGCTAATGAACCTTGATACCAAATGTTATTTTTTTTGAATCTCTTTTTATAAATCTGCATTAAGATAACTGATATGATGTACATTGTTATGATTTCAATAAACTTTGAAAAAAGACAATATGATATGTCGGCATTGGATTGTTTTGAATGGCTCCAAAAATTCAATACACATACTCATAGTATGGAAGTACAAACCTAAAATTGGATGAGGATGAGGAAAACTAGGTTATGTTTATTTAGTGTTAGTAAATATCGGATGAATTTTGAATATTACAATTATCTACTGAATTATTCTTCTGTAAATTAGGTGAGAAAGCTATCTGTACCTTTAGTATTTTGAATTTCAAAATGATAACTGTTTTCAAGTGAATATTTGCCTAATGGTTTTTCTTCTTCATTATACTCTTGTGCTTGAACAAATTGAACCTTCGTTTTTCAGTTAACAATCAATGCATTTCTCATTTCAATTATTTTGGTATTATAGTTCAGGAGTGGACATTACAAAAGGCGTGTATTTGGAAATTATTATCTTGTATCTTCTATGAACATGAAAAACTATTACTTATACTACATTTATTGCCCTCATTTATTTTATTACCATTTTTTCCATCTGTTTCATACGGAAAATATTCTAAATACAATTCATTTCGAATACTATTACCACTAATTTTTGGCATCCCTTCTTTAGTACTAATAATAATTTTCGAAAGGAAGTCAAGATCTACTCGTGATTATTTTGTAACATATTTCACATCTTCATCTTTCCTAAAAACCGTATACCTAGCAATTATTCACTGTACTGTATTCAACTCTTTGAATAGTTTTTTGTTCGTTGACAGTTACTTCTGTTTAAAATCTGTTTTTCCGTTAATCAGCTGTCGCCCCCATGTATATCTTTAATACTATTTGGAAGGTGATTGTACATTTTGCAGCCGTTATATATAATTGAATCCTCAACGAGAGTGGAAGATGGTAATGGTAGTTTGAGATGGTTACTTTGACGGGTGGGGTATCTATTCCCTGTAATAAAATTTTGTTTGTGTTTATTTATGAGACACACTGTTTCAAGTATAAATATAGACACTACCGTGAGCATGTTGTGTTGCTTGAAGTGAAATCTGCACGAACTGCGAAGTTTTAGGTTACAGAGGTATCTCAGGGCTCTTTTTTGTAAGACAAAAGCACTTTGAAGAACACTACCACTGCACATTTCCCAGAATGGAATACCGTATCGCAAATGTGACTCTATTGAGTAGTATACTGTTTTTGCGGTTGGGTTTCCTAGTTCGTTTGCAGCAATTTTCACAGCATTATAACCAGCGGACAATTTTCCATTCAAGTTTTTGACATGTTCATTGAATTTGAGACCGTTGTCGATGTAAAGTCTTAGAAATTTAGAAAAAACACTGTTTTTAATAATCTGGTGGTTTAAAGAAATATCAGCAACTGCACATTTGAAGGACAGTATCTTAGTTTTCGATATGTTGAAGAATGAAAGATTCGAGTCGCACCACTCTTTGACCTTTATTATATCTGAATTAATGATTCGTTGAAGATCAGCTTGCTTATCATTATGCCATAGTATGGTGGTATCCTCGGCGAACAGGGTGACATTTCCTGTAATGTGTCGTGAACCATGAATATGCTTTATTTTATATTATTTTGATATTATTTTTCAAATTTGTCTCGACGTCCTACCTTTTAAACATTTCTCACCATAACTATATTTTTAACTCGACCATAGATGAATTTTCATATGAGATGGCAAGTAGATGGTAGTTTTTAAGGAGATATATGGTTGGATGAACGATAAAACGAATATAATCGGTATAATTTATTAAATAATGTACATATAAATAAACAATAAATCAAATAAGTACTTTGACGACTAGAATGTTGAAACAGACACTTATCATTTTCATGATTTGTTGATTTCATTGACTAGAACAATAATTGTTTTTCTGAAATGTAAATATGTACTTTGTAAATCAAAAGTTGCATCGAGTTCTTCAGGTTTCAGTTGCCCCACATTCGGACCACGACAGGGTGACACTGGTGTGAAAAATTGGTAACAAGTGGGGGATATTTTTAACAAGAAACTGAGTAAATAATTTTTCAGTGTCATACCTTCATTTAGAAGTTACAGTCATAGTTACAATACTTCAAGATGTATTTGAAAATTGAAATATCTCAATTGGAAGAAATATGTTCGTTATGAAAAATTTATATAATGCGGTGAATGAGGACAACAGTAATTAAAAAAAGTTATAATGTGGACATTGTTGTTTTAGACATAATGTAATAGTGTTTATCAACGTAATTGAATCCTTGTATATTTTTCTACGATTTCATTTATTGGATGTACCTTCCTTAATGTCATTTAATATAAAAAATCATTAGTTGCTCAGAAAAAAAAGTAATGAATATATGAAGACGAGAGTACGCTGTAGATAATTTTTTTAAAACATTGGAGGACTACCCCATGAGGAAAATTTTTCAGGGGAAGAAGTTCCACAAATCAAAAGACCGTACAAAAAACTCTGAACATTAAAAAAATATCGTTGAGCACGTCCAGTTTTCGTCGAAACTGTGCTAGAATGATGAAGGAAGTCTTTGGAGTCTCTGACAAAGAGGAGTCATTCATGGACCGCGAACAACTCTACTTTGACAGTAGAAAGTAGTATTTGAGATCGAATCAGATCTACACCTTGTAGATAATTAACAGTTTCTGGGGCGAGAAATAATCGGGTGTCACAAAATAGAAAGCCAAGTTTTAACTAAGGCAATGTGTAAATATTTCCAAAGAACAACCTTTTGCTTCAGTAGGGTTGAACTGAACAAGGTTAATGAATTCCAATTCAAGGGATCTTGGGTTGCTTTTCTAGTGTGGTTTGAATTAATCGAAGGTGATGTGGACGACCAGGCAGTCATCTACAAAACATGAGTGTGACGATGTATTGAGGATGATATACAAACTGAACCCTGGGGTATGCTAGTGTTGGTAGTGTATCCGTCAAACACCACACACGCTGACTCATCTGAAAGAAAGCTGGACTATGCCCGAATAGTTTTGAATATTTTAGATTTGATACGAAAAATGTTGAGTTCTATGAGTTCAAGAAATCAATGTATGGATTTCTGCGTTGAGAGAGTTTGGAGACGACTCAAATTTTAGAGATTCAATTTCTGAAAAGTACTTTTCTATCTTCTACGCTGAAATTTCTGATATATTGTATAAGTAATTTTTCATAGAGAAGGTTTTTAGGCTATCGATTTTTATGTAACTCGTCACTAGATGGCGCTGTAGAACAATTTTTTGAAAGCAATGTTCTATAACGCTGCGCACGCCTAAGTTCGTTGATTCTGATTCTGTTAAAACATTGGAACAGCAGCGATACAGCAACATAGTTCTAGTTATCACAAAAACAATCCATGTAATACTTGCTGATGAAGTAATTTGAAAGCTCTCCATACGATAATCTCAGACAACCAAACTATGGTATTTAGTAGTTACGACACGAAGAAAAACAACTATTTTTGAATGGCCAAGAAGCTGAAATGTTCTTTTGATTGTTAGTTATGGAGTATCTCCACGAAATTGATGAATCACTGATAGAGAAAGTAATGAATTAACTTGCTTGTTTTTATTGGTTACCGGGTTTTGCCGAGTTTGTTTTAGTTGATATATCAAGAAGAGTACTTCGACCACGCCACTGAAGATGACTCCGCAGTTATAGTTGGAACATTTGGGGATTGTGACCAAAGAAAACCACGGCAGAACCCGGAAACCAACCAAAATATTGACGTCAGCCGTCATTTCTGCATTACTATATTGCTTGTTTTTATTGTCTAAACTCATTAGAACCGTTGCTACAGGTTTGAAATATGACTTGGCATTTGCAAATTTGCTTAAAAAATTAAAAAAAAGTTGGTGAATCAATGGCACCACAAAGACCTTTTCTAAAAAAAGTTGGACCATAATTGAGATTCCGGCATTAAGCCTTAGGATGAAAGTTTCGTTATATCTTCAAGCTTTGGATACATCCAAAGCTACTACCAGAGACCATTCCAAATTCGTTAATAGTTGTTTTCGAGTTCTGGTAAACTTTCCAGTTCTAGGAGAATGTATACGTTCTTGTCTCTCAGTCTTCATTTATGTAACGATATTAATATATTAATGGCGGAAATCATTAATGTGGCTCGCAAAAGCGATGTTGAAAAATATGAACTGATGTTTTTCTAACGATTCTAGTATATGAATTTTTGAAAATGTTTGACTATTGACGTAACTTGTGGTGAATGAAAATATACTGTTGATGGAAATGTTTCACGGATTTTCATCAACTGTAATAATTTCCAATGGGTTTTAAACTGTGATAACACGTAAATCTGTAGAGGAATACTTCTCAGTTAACACCTTTCCAACCGCATCTTGGGATTTTCAACCAATTGACATATTTCTTGACAGACTAATGTGGAAACCTCCTCAACCCGTAAGGAGACAACAGGAACAACTCTCATTCACAGCCAACTTCAAGATTTCACTGAAAGAAAATTTTGTACATAAATTCTTTGAAATTGACTGGTTATTGTGCACAGAAACACATGTATCATGAGACATGAATACAGATATGAAACTACTTCTGATATCAGTTTCATTTTTGGTAACATAAATTTGATAGTTGGTCTATTGAAGGGTCAGTAGTGTGCGCTGGACGGTTCTCCCAACCACGAATCTGGACTTGGAGGAAAGTCGGGATAACCTCGTGGACTGCTGTCGTTGCTAATATCGGTATCGGCACCAGGTGGCATATTGTGTGATAACATTCCTGGTCCTCCTTGACCTGAAATGATCGAAATTAGTGGCTTTGGAGTGGAATGCCATACATAGTACGGAAACTGGTAATTAGCTACAGGTTGAAATTGAAAACTACAGTTATTATTTTGGAGTTTACCTAGGCTGGCGTAAACCGACAGTTGGTCTGGATACGGAGAGAAATGGTCATGCCCATGTGGAGGAGTATGCCCAGGTAAAAAGGACGGTGAAGAAGCCCCATGCAGAAACGAGGGCCTTCCAATTCCATTGTGTGGCGACGAACCATCTTGGTCTAGTCCCATGTTCACAACTGTTCCATAACTGTCGTCGCTGAGATCTGTCATAAATTTAACAAATGAGTAATTGAACTACTATCATTTCTGTTTTACATTCGTCCAGAATCATCACCTATGATAAGATGAAACACACACACATAGTTTCAGACAACATCTTTATTTTCTAATAACGAAAACAAAACAAAATGGTTTAGACTTTCACGGCTGAGGTTTTCAGTGTCAGCTGTCCGATGACAGCAAGCCATGATGGTTAAACCTCTGAAGAAGCTAGCTACTCGCGCTAGCGAAACGTCAGGAAGAAATTTCAAAAATCCACGGCTTTCAAACTCGAAAAGCAATGACACTGAAAACAAAACAGTTAACTTTTCTATTTGGCTGAATGTGCCATACAGAAACAAAAGCCAGGAAAACCTTGCGAGAGAGAACCTTAAAGTTAAATACTAGAGAAATGAAGATATGTGTGAAGAGCCATCTACCATACTGTATACTCATCTTACCATGATGACTGAAGCTGTCTAGGTCCACTTTCATTTCGTCCTTATCCAATAGTTTATCGTGTCTTGGTGAAGAACCACCTTTCATGGATCTGAAGTACTGGCTCCATCTCGTTCTTCCTGCATCTTTCTTTAATCGTTTTTCTTTCGCTCTCCTGCAATTTCGTCTGATTTCAATTTATAGAATTGAGTGTCACTCGATAACTTCGAAGTTAACAATACAATTGCCTCTCGAAAAATAATGGCAATATGATTTAGAAAACATAGATATCTCTCCCTTCCAAGATGTCATCTACAGGATCATCAGAGACTTGAAACATGAATATCAATGATAAACGAGTCTCCCAAAGAAAGGTCGTTGTGAATTCGAACTTCGAAATCGATTGACGTGACTCGTCTTTTGTCTTTCTCTACAGCTTTCAAGCTAAATGAAGAATTCGAGAATTCTACATTGGACAGTGCTGTTTATGCCCATCAAAGATGTCGTCACTGGTACTGATGATACCTATGGTGGGACTAAACAGTGTTGTCTGGTTGCATCACAAATTCTTTGTTTTCAATCTCTGATTTCAAGTAGACTGCGATGAGGATTGAGATCAAAAAAATTAGCAGAGCGTCATATTATTTCTTACCTGTTTTGGAACCAGACTTGCACTACTCTCATATCCAATCCTGTATCTTGACTAAGCTGCTCCCTGACATGTCTTGCAGGTTTAGGGCTATTGTTATAAGCTGTTTTCAATGTTTCTAGTTGTTTTGCTGTTATTGTCGTCCGAGGCCTTTTGTTGGGTTGGTCACCATCTAAACATTCTGCAGCTACAATGAAAAACTGTTTTAGGTATGTTGATACTGCCGCCTTGCAAAAAATCAAATAATGAGTATAATGGCATTAAGTTAAGATAGGTGTATGTTTCACTTTTATATCTATCGAAGCAATCCGGAAGATTGATTCCTTCATCAAAACATCTATTATGAACATGATAATTTTCAACAAAAGAAAACACTGTGACAATTGTGGAAGATGACTAAAATCGCTTGAAAGCAATTTTTGGCATTTTTGACTTTATATATAATGAGTGACTGTACAGAAGCGTTCTTATTTGTTTCGGTAGGATTGAAGTTGAATATGATCTTAATAAAATATATAGTTTGAATTATCAAAATAACCATATGGAAAGATTCAAATGTTGAATGAGGTTAGGTTAGGTTTGGTTTGGTTAGTTAGGTTATATTAGGTTAAGTTCCTCTTCTTTCTCCTGGTTTTCCTTTTCTTTCATACATTCTTGCTCTTTCCTTAGCTAATAGACCAATAGAAAAAGTTTCCCTTATTACCCCTATTGCCTTCGTAGAAATTGTCTTTTACAAGACCAACTCTGTGTGGACAATATCATCTTGGAGTAGGTTTGAATTTCCATAGCTCTAGGGGTCCCATATACGTGGGGAAAACCAGTGGATCCAAGTTATGAGGAGAGGCATAGACAATGAGTCTATGGCAACAGAGATGGGTTTCGAACACAGAGATAGCGCAATGGTCCAAAAAAATTGGTTCCAAAGCTAATTTTTCTTTGACCTAATTATTTCCATACATTCCAACAGATTCATTATTTTCCCTTTTTCGCATATGTGGAGAATTTTGAAATTATCTCAATCTATTTTATGTTTCGAATTTTGAAAATTCGTTCGTACATTGGTGATTTTTTTTATCCGAAATGACATGTTCAAGGTACCTTATATCAAAATTTCTACCAGTTTGGCCTGTATTTATGGCCTGTATTTATGGCGGGGCATTTGCCACATTGTAGTCGATATATACCAGATCTCTTCCCTTTGTATAATTTACGTTTGGCACTGAATAATCTAAATATTAGTGGAGTTTTTTCCCACCACCAAATCGTTATTTTTAACACACCGATACGTGTTTCGATCACCAAGTGATCATCTTCAAGAGGAAGAGTTTAAACTCTTCAGTGCATCATAAGTACTGAATAATCTGTTTCCTAAATTTCTGTTGGATGTGTAGGATGTTTGTAGATTGAATTTTGAAGGATAATTTTCAATATTCTCGGAGACTCTACCTGAATAACTTGAATACATTTGTGTTATGGTCTTGTGGAAATTGAATATAGTTTTTTCATTACTGATTTTTGTTGATATTTCATTATAATGTTGTTAACTAGAGTAGTAGGTATTTTGTTATTAACTGCTATTTGTTTAATGATTGCGGTTTCGGAGATTTTTGATCAGAAAGGGGTATTGTGAAAGCCATATGTATCATTGACCTGAACGCAGACAATTTCTGGTAAATCCGGTTGAAAGAGTTAAAAAGTATTGTGCAATCTGTGAATGTGTTTTTTTGGAAAGTCGATAGAACAGGAAAAGTAGGTATAAATTACTCAGATTTAAATTTAATCTAGTTAGTTTTGAAAATGGTGTAATGACCGAAACTAGTCAACAATAAAGAAATATCGTGGAAAATAGACAAAAGGGTGTTTTAGTAGTATATCCCCAGTTAACAAGAATTTCCACAAAATAAACAAGTCGTCAATCAAAGAAGTATAATATTTGTCGACTTAACGATGTCAAATAGCCTTCAATGACCGGTAGATTATCTGTTCATGATCGGTGAAGATAGCTGTGAAGTATTCGTTTTCTAGGAAAGCCTAACGATAGCAGCAGATATCTGAATAGATAACAGTTACTATATCTTGAATGGATACGATTAAAATTGACATAGTTAGGTTTGAACGAATTTTCATTGAAAATTTTTTGTACCAAACAAAATTCTATAACGAACCTCAAAATCAAAACTATATTTGATTCCTTCAGTTAGAATCAATGACAAATATGCTGCCATTTCTGACGTACTTCAATAGGATTGTGAGGTAATAATGATTATGTAAAGTTAATTTGTTCAAATGTTACAGTAAAAAGTTCGATTTAATTCACATGTCATTATTTACGACGTAGAATAATATTATTATACATGAGTTTGTTCATTGTCACGAGCTGGAAAATTCACTTTTCAATGTAAGTCCAAGTAAAATATACAAATTTGCACTTTTTTGACTTTTTCATTCTATGGTTGAACATATCAAGGTGATAAGCAGTGTGGTTCAGCCGCCAGAACCCAATTGGGTTCTCTGAATCAGTCTAAGAAAACATTTTTCTATAATTTTTCTCACCTTTCGTTTTGGCTGCTTCGTAGTCGGGTTTGCACACCAGTTTCCTGTCTTCCATGAGGTAAAATTCGTCTCCCGTGTTGAGCTGCCTGGCACACATGACGCAGGAGAAACACTGAAGGTGGTAGACGTTGTCTTGGGCCCTTCTGACGACCTGCGTGGGCGGGATACCCAGCTCACAGCCAGCACACTTTGTGCCAAATCGTCTGCACCCACAGCACGAGACAAATAGAAAAACTGCATTGTTAAATCTGAACTACTCTACTCAACAATTCAACTGATAATTCTAACGATAGGTAATTAACAAAGAGGTAACATCTTGTTGTGGTTTGATTCATATCTCTCAGATCGCGTTCGAAAAGTGAATTTTGAAAGTTTATCTTCAGATAAAAATGAGCATTTAATGTGGGGTACCTCAGGGATCTGACCCTGGCCCTTTGCTATTTTTATTATAGATAGATAGAAAGACATTTATTGATCATACACCAATTTATATTGGATTGATAAGTCAAAAACAAAAAACATTTTCAAACCAAGCAACACTGAAAGTAGGTAGTACACAGTACAGTGTTTATTAACAGCCCGAAATGAATTCTGAAATACTATAAAATGCCCTAGATAACAGATAACATTTCAATTTTGTTTTGAATCTGAACAGGTTTGGTTGATTCTTCAAGTCATCACGTAGCATGTTGAAAAAATTTGTGGATTTTTATAAGTCGAGTAGTTGACAATTTTCAATCTGACTTGGTTTCTTTGACGGGTTGGGTAGTGGTGGACATCCGCATTTTGAATAAACTGACGTATTCCAAAAACACTTTATTGTGAGATTTTCACTAAATTGTTTTACAAAAACGCAACACGTGTTTCGCCATATAATTGCTTCATCTGGCGTGTCTTTCAACTAATTCTACACATTCAATACTAAATATATATATAGNGTATCATATAAACTGAACATAGAAGAGTGAAAAAGTTTCTAAAAACTTCGCCTTTGATAAACATCCTAACTACACAGTTTCATTTCTGTATCCATCAAGTTTCTAAAGTCGTAGGCGCAAATTTCAAAATAGAAAGGAATTTCATATTTTCTTTTCAATGACTGTTCAGACTGAAGGTCTTCCCCAATTAGTATTATTGGTGAATCTTTCTAAGTGTTCCTCATTTCAATCCAAACAATGAACCATTTAATTTAGTTTATCTGGAAACGAATGTTCTGAGGTTTCCTACTTGTAATTCTTCTTCGAAGAGAATGGAAGTATTCGATTTCAAATGGATGCTGTAAAGTTTATCAAAATATACATCAAGATCTTTAATTGAGTTACTTTGTGACAGTAAAATGGTATCTACTCGATAATTGTACTCAATGACTGACATTTTGCTACTATAAGACACTACTTCACATTTGGATGCATTGAGATATAGTTTGTCAACTTCACACCAAGTCTGTATATTTTCTAACTGTCGTTGCAATGTATTACAGTTTTTGATAGTATCGACAGGTAAATATATTTTTAAATCATCTGCAAAAGTAACTTATTACAATTGACATAGTCACTGTATTCCTTAATAAATAATAAGAATAGAACTGGTCCGAGATTCGACCCCTGAGGTACTCCAGATGAAGGATTGTAATAAAATGAATCATAGCCGTTATAAGATACAAACTGTTCGCGTTGAAGTAAGTACGATTTAATGAAAAGTACTGCTGTATTATGGAAACCAAATTGGTGGAGTTTTTGTAGAAGGATCATGTGATTAAATCGATCAAATGCTTTAGCAAAATCAGTATATATCACATCAACTTGACCACGATTATCTAAGACATTACTAACATTTTGGGTCAATGCAATTGAATTTGTTATGGTGGATCTGTTTGACATAAATCCATGTTGTTGCGTAGATATGATATTATGAACTGAGGAATGTACGCGATTATAGATGACAATTTCAGCAAAGTTCGATAGGATTGAGATAGGACGATAATTCCGAAAATCAAATGGATCTCTAGACTTAAAAATGGGACAAACTCGTGACATCTTCCATAATTCAGGTAAATTATTATTTTTAACTGCAAGACTGAAAAGGGACAGTAAGGGATAGACCAATACACCGATGCAATCTTTTATCAAAAAGGATGGTATCAAATCAGTTCTAGAAGTTAACATATTTTTTAGTTTATATGCTGCAATCAAGATTTTCTGTTTGCTGATGTTTTCAAAATTTATATTATTATAAAACAATAGAGTATGTAAGATTTGTGTTATATTATAAGTCAAAGAAATCGTATGACAATTGCGTTGAATAAAGCTGGTAAAATAAAGCAATTGAATTTCAAATCAACATTTATTTTTGAACTTCAAATCAAAACAATATTTGTTTTTAAACTTTGATTAAATCAACATTTATTTTCAAACCTCAAACCAACATTTAATAGCAGGGGAGCCCACGATGCAAAATGGGGATTTACTCGAGCGTGATTGAGACATATTAGGTTGCAAAGCTTAGATGATAAGAAGAAAAAAATGTTATATATTATATCAGTGGGGAAGGTGGCTATAGATTTTTAAATATGTAAAAAAATACTGTTGCATGGATATACTCGAGCGCGTCAGATATTGACAGCATCAATGTCCTACCTATTTTTAATAATGTTGGTATGTTAATCTGATCGTTTGCATGATGTGAGTGGTTGTACATAAGGGTCAAAAGTGGAAAAAAAATGTATTCGAGCGCGTCAGATTTTCTAAAGGAGTGTTAAGTGCAATAAAAAAAAGCTCTCATTCAATAATCTGACGATTTCGATCTGACGCAAACTCGCGGCCATTATTATAATGTGCAAAAGAAATTCACCATTTTGAAATATCCTTGTATATTGTATAAGTTTGGAAATGTCCTTATAGGACGAAACTGCAGTTACAAACTGTTAGTTACAAATAAAAGTGGTAAAAACATAGAAAGTTTAATTTCTCTTTTTTTCAATATGATTTCCTACCACGTCATAAAGGCTACATCCATCAATTAATTGATTAATTATTCATCATCTTCATCTTCATCACGAACGAGTCTCTGTGATCAGCTGTGATGGCGTCATGGCAACAGTCAGAGTGGGGACGGAGTGAGAGAGTAATAGATAGAGAAAAAGTGAATGGAGAATAGAGGAATAGAAACTCGGAGAGGGAAATATAGGTATCACACAGTTGCACGCAATAAACTTTATCAACGAATTTTTGTTATTTCGGCTTGCGGAAATCGTCAGATTATATATTTTTCGTTATTCTTGAATTACTTCCTTCAAAATAAAAAATAACTTCGGAATGACATTATTTTTTTACAATTTTGCTGCACCCCTTTCTTTGCGTCACTCTCAAATTGTCAGATTACTGGAATATACACTTTTTAGCAGGTAATTAACTTACCCTACCTTAATCTGACGCGCTCTAGAATTTCTGATGATCAATTTTTTTTTACTAATCTGATCCTTTATCCCTCACAGGCGGCCTTATATATGGGGCTCATATTTGGTGGAGGTACTTAACCGTGTACAAGGTATCCCCCTGTATATTAATCTGCCATGCTTTAGTAAATCCCGAAATCCCCGCTTGGGCTCCCTTATTATAAAGCGCAATTCGGTGAAACCATTGTTCGGCGCATCACTAATTATTATGGAGGCCCAGCTCTCTCTAATTATCAAATATCAAGGGAAATGTGGGCACAAAATTTGTATGTTCCTGGAGATGCCAACTACCCCTTTTTTCAAAGAGTTGGAAAACAATTTGAAAGTTTCATCTGTGATTGGTAAACACCACGAAATCAAAAACTCAGATGTGATACTTACTTGAAGAAATCTTCCTTGCAAAAAAGTTGTCCATTTCTTGCGAAGCACTTATCCGTCAATTGCACTCGACAGTCACTACACTGAAGGCATTTGGCATGCCAAGTTCTATCTGCCACTTTCAAAATGAATCTATCGAGGATAAGTTCGTGGCAACCGCCACATTTTGGAATGGTTGCTGGAAAAAAAAGTGAGTTAGATTTGCTTAAGAAATGTCATTTTATCGGTCTAGCTTTTGAAAGAAAGTCTCATGGCGAATTTATAATTGTCAATCATTAGATAATTATTAGACATTATTGAATTTAAAACTTGATTCCTCAAATGTATTCCAGCAAATTTCACAACATAAACGTTCAAAAATTTGGCGACCATTTGTTCATCACAGTATTCTTTTTCTTCGACATGGTAGTTAAGCAAAGTACATTCAAAGAGAGCAGTTTTGAATATGCATTAAAATGGGAAAGAAAAATGATTGCATTACCAAAATCCAGTTGCTTATTTACTAAATGATATAGGTAGGTATATAGGATGTAACTGAATATGTGTAAAACATTTAAGGGGGTGATTTCTCATCGAAAAAGAGATAGGATCTTTCATATGAAGAAATTTCATTGGAGCATCCCTTGTTAAGATACAGCCCCTCAAAGGGGGTACTTAAAATTTGTATAACGATTTTTTTCACAAGCACTAAAAAAGTTACAATACTGAAATTAACCTTTACCATCTGCAACGAGTACAGGCACTGTTACCGCGAGACTTTCCGAACCGTCTTGAATTTTGCAATTGGATGCTGGAAATGATTAGAAGAAATTGTGACTTTCTGAAGACGATAGAATTCACA